CCTGGTCTGGCCCCTGGCCCTCACCCCAGGCTGCTTGGCTGGGTGCAGCAGCCCTGCCCAGCTCAGCCACCGCTTAGAGGTCCTAGGATGGCTCCTGCCACCCCAGGTGGGGCACCGGGCAGAGCCCTGCTGGGACTTGCTCTGAGTGGGAAAGAGCTACCCGGGCCCCAGGTCTCTGTGTCACTTGGACGGTGGAAGGGCTCCATGGTGTCACCTCCCCCATCAGCCCAGGGAGGGGGCGGGGGAGGGCAAAGGGGAGGGCCAGGGAGAGGCCTCCGACCAGCTGCTCCAGGGGGAGCCCCTGCCCAGCCCTTCTCACCCCCCCTACCAAATACAGACTTCAGAGCCCCTTCCCAGCGGGCTCTGTCCAGCCTGGGGGGGCAAGCCCGGGCCCCGGTGGGTCAGCTGCTGCTGTGTCTGCAGCACTTTGACAATAGTGCTCTGTGGTCTGGAACACCCGCCCCAGCCCGTGCCAGCCTCCATCCCTCCCCGAGCCAGAATCCAGCCCCAGGCTGGCTGAGGAGGCATCGTGGGCAGCCACAGGGCTGGGGACAGGCGCAGGCCACACACCAGTGAGGGTGGCTGTGTGCAAGCGGCCACTCAGGAAGCACGGGTCACGACCTGCCAGCCCCACCCACACCCGCCCTGCCACCGGGCACCTCCACCAAGTAACTGCAGCAACAGGCCTCTGCCTCCTCATCACCATAGCAACGGCTGCACAAGAGCTGCTGGGAGAAGAGGCCTGCTGGGCGGGCGGAGGGCGGGTGGCCAGAGGGGCATCTGGTTACAGGCAGGCAGCACTGGTCTGGCCCCACCTGGGCGTCCCACCCAGGGGCCTGCAAGGGGGGGGTCAAGCCCTGTTCCTGAAACCAGCCCAGTGCCCCCACGTTGTCCCTGGGGCCTGGCTACCCACCCTGGGCCTAAGCCCTCTCCTGCTAGGTCAAGGGCAGAACAGATGAGACCTCAGGATAGAGTTGCTGCCTCCCACCCCAGTGACTTGGGGACAGTCATCCAGTCCCTGCCCCAGAAGCTGCCTGTGGCACCAGGCTAGGCCCACATCCCACTGAGCAGGGACAGGCCACACCCACGAGTGGAGAAACCGAGGCCCAGAGCTTGGGAGGAGGAAGCAGACAAGGTCCAGGGGCGCTTGGCCCCTGCCCTGCAGACTGAGCTTGCCCCGGGGAGTGTGCCCCGGCAAGGCACTCGGCTCGCGGGGCAGAACCTCTGCTGGGCAGGTGGCAGCATCCGACACCGAAGCCTAAGACCCTCCTGGGCAGTGAGGGTCCAGCAGGGCCGTGCCCAGAATCCAGCGAGCCCCAGCCCCAGAGCACCAGCCAACGAGGACTCCACCAACAGCGACAGGCCCAGGACCTCCACGTGGCGCAGCCAGTGCCTGGGACCACGGTGGGGCAGGGGCAGAGGAAGGTTCTGCGGGAGGCCCAGCCTAGCAGGTCGAGGTCGGTCCTGGGTATAGGACCGTGGGCACCTCCCACCAGCTTGCCAGGTGCCCTGCCAGCCACTGCTCCCTGAGCCATGGTGGGGTCCCCAGTGGACACAGGGGCCATCATTCCAGCCCCTGCCCCCAGCTCCCAGGGGGCCCTTCCTGCAAGAATGGGGGTGGGGGAACAGAGGCTGATACTAATGGGTGCCCACACCCTGGTCCCCATTCTCCCCCTGAGCCCTGCTCTGCTGCTCCCGGTGGCCCAAAGCCTGAGGCGGGGGAGGCTGCATCAGAAGCGGCCCCAGGGCTGCAGGCCTGATCCAGCGCCAGCCAGCTCCGGGCGCCCTGGGCAGCCCGTGTACCCAGCCCTGGCTCCCCGCCAGGGCCAGGTGCCCAGGGGAACCCTGCCAGGCCGTGGCGATGACGGCCGCCCGGCCCCGGCCGCAGCACCGGGTTTTCTCATTCTGTACTTCGAGGCTGGTCCCCGGGAGACACAGGCAGGAGCCCAAAGGACCCCGGGGACAGATGGGACGGGAGCCCCCTGGGTCTAGGTGGGCAGCACTGTGCCTCCTCCTCAGGCCCCCACTCGGGACCCTGTCCTGCTCCGGGCCGGTCCTGGAAAATCCCCACTCGGAAACCCAAGCTGCCCTGGCCTCTCGGATGCGGGCCGCTGCCCTTCCCAGGGCAGGATCCCGAGGGCCGGCACGACGACATCCACACCACCCTGGCCCTGCTCCTCACACGAGGCTTCTGTTTCTGACAGCGACTGTGCCCTGGGGTCCCGGACAGCAGCCCCACAGCAGGCCCTGGCCCCCAGAGGGGGCTGGCTCAGGAGGGTCACAGAGTGGATCAGCCTCCGGGAGGGCGGCCCCAAAGGACGAAAGGGTGCAGGGACCTGGGCAGCGGAGGCTGGCACAGGAAGGGCATTCCCAGTGGTGAGAAAGCAGTCACAGTCCCGGCTCGTGGACATGGGGGGAGGGGCAGAGGGAGGGCCTGCCCAAGGGCAGAGGAGCTGTGCTGGCCGGGAAGGGGCAGCGTCCCTGCAGGGGCTGGGCCCAGAGACCGCGGAGCCTGGATCGAGTACCCCAGGCCAGCCCTCTGTCCTGGGGATCAGGGCCTCCTGTGACCCCTGGGTCCCCGGGCCGCCTGTCCCCCAACCTCTGAGGCTGGCCCCGGATAGCGCGCTGCGGAGGGCGCTCGTGACTCAGCGGAGCACCGCGAATGTCAGCGGGCGCGGGCGGCGGGCTGGGCACGGCAGATCCCCCTCCCGGAGGCCGGAGCTCAGGCAGGGGTGCGCGGGGCCCGATTAGAATGGGACTGTGGCGCGTCGTCCCTCCCGCGCCATCCCTCGCGCCAGCCTGGGGTCTGCGCGCTCCCGGCTTGCCGCACGTGCGCGCAGGGAGCGCGCCACTGGCCCCGGTGCGCGCGGCCTCCGCGGCCAGCAGGCCCGCGGCGCGGGGTCGCTCACCGGGCTCCGGCGTTTCAGCGTCACGTTTTTCCAGAGCAGCAGCTGCAGCTGGTGCAGGAAGCCCATGGCGGGGCCGCGCCCCGACCGCCTCCGCGCCGCGGCCAGCTCTTCTGCGCGCCCCGCCGGCCCGGCCGCCCGCCTCGCCGCTCGGCATCGCCCGCGCGGGGGCGGGGTCTCAGCGCCCGGGACCGTTCCGCGCTGGCTCCGCCCCGGCGGCCCGGCGACAGCCACTCGCGACAGCCTCCCGCCCGCGTCGCCCCCACTTAAAGGCGCCGCGCTGAGGCCGCTGCCCCGCCCCCGGCCCGGTACCTCCTGCACCGGACCCGCCCGCCCACCCGGGCAGTTCCTGGGGCGCTGTCCTGCTACTGGGGCCTTTTTGGTCTCTCTCATCAGGCCAGGCGTTGAAATGACGGCCCAAGCGCCCACACGTAAACCCAGACCCCCGACTCACCCCTTCCTTCCAGGGTGCTCTTCTCCCAGCGCGGCCAGGCCTACACGCAAGCCCGTTCTCACTGGATCCTCCGGCAGGGGCACCCCAAGGTGGTTACTGGCCCCTGAGGGCGCTCTGAGCGGCCGCTAGGGGAGGTTCGGCCCCTACCAGGCCACCACCTCCGCCGCGTTTCTCGGACGCAGTACTGGTGGCGGGAGCTTGGGCTGGACATCTGAGAGCCGTGTCCCAGCCCCTGCCCGCTCAGGGGGGCGGGGGAGACCTCGAGGCGCCCTGGCTGCAGATGCCACCTGGGCACCTGGGCCACTGCCCTCCAGACTTCCAAGAGCCAACATCCACCCAACCTGGCGCTTCCAGACCTGCCCCCACAGCGGGGGTGGGCCTGCAGGTGAGCTGTCCGCCCCTGTGAGTTTCCTGTGTCCCGTGGGAGTGAGCCACATGGTGACTCGGTGGCAGGGTGAGCCTGGCTGGGCTCTGCCAGGAGGAAGGGAAGGGACCTGCTGGCCCCAGAACCGCCCTGTGCGGCAGGGCAGGCGGGGTCCCTGGGAGGACTGAGCTGCCCTCTGTGAGCAGCTTGCTTTTGTCCCGTGTCCGAGGGCGAGTGAATTCCACGGAGGTGGCGTGGAACCTGCTGGAGGAGAGGGTCCTTGCTTGCTTGCTGCACACGCTAACGTGGCCAGGAAAATTGCAGGGTCAATTCCAGAGATGGCCAGCAGGGGGCAGGCGGGCCTCTGCGCCAAAGGAGACCCAGTGGGTGGCTCTATTGCTTCCTCCCCTGCCTCAGTTTCCCAACTTGTGAATGGGAGCGGTGAGTTATGTGATGGCCAGTGTCTGGGGTGCAGGTAGAGGTCACACCCTACACTGAATGGCAGACCCTGGGGGGCTGAAGCTCCCCACCCCTCCCACTGCCTCCTCTGAAGCGGGAAGAGAGGCAGCTGGTGCAGGTGGGCAGGCGCACCCCCCACCCCACTGTGCAGCTGGGGACACTTCCTTGTCCCTGGTCAGCACGTGGGGGTAGGTCAGGGCCGGAAGTCTCTGGCAGGCCTTTCCCACAAGCCCCTGCCAAGGAGGAGGGCAGCTTCCTGCCTCCTCCACCCGCCTGTCCCTCCCCACCTAGAGCAGGGACGGGTCCCGAGCTCCCCTCACGGAGGCTTGGCCCGTTGGGGCCCCTGTCAGCACCCCCAGAGTCTCGCCACGAGCCTCTCTTCTCACTCAGCCACCTGCCTCAAGGACTCCTCGCCTGCAGCAGCCCCCTCGGGGCCCCTCCCTGCCACGAGGCCCCCAGCAGCCCTGCAGAGGGAGCCCCACGTCACCAAGCAGCCCCCGCCTGAGAGCGGAACCCCAGGGCCTCCCAGATGGGGCACCTTCAACCCCCCGCGGGTTCCTGACGTCGCCCCTGCTGACCACCCACTCGGCCTTTTGGGGTTCGGGAAGGCTCTCTGACTGGGAGCCATTTAGGGGGTACCGAAGGAAGGGGGGAGAGGGTTGGGCGGAGCCACACGGGGCAGGGCATCTCAGGCGGAGGGAGGGCAGAAACCTTAAGGCAGAGCAGTTGGATCCCCGGAGGGGCAAGGAGGGCGGTGGGCGGGCCAGGGCGGCAGACGTGTGGGGAGCCTCCCAGACCTGACTCGCAGCATCTTGGCCTTTGTTTCTTTATTGACCGATGGCCCCTCACTGAGTGGACTGCAAAGAGCCCAGAACCGCCCGGCTTGCTCTCAGCTTGCCCGGGCCTGCACAGAGCTGGTCCGAGTGGGCAGTGCAGCAGTGCCTCCTGGGCCGGGGGCCCCGGGTACGGAGAAGGCTTCGGGGGTGGGGCAGGTTTTCCAAAAAAAACCCCACACAGGGTGGCATGTTCCCAGGGCCCGTCCCTGCCTCCAGCCCCACAGCCCCACACCCCCAGGTCAAGGTGTAGCAGCCTTGACCTGCCCGAGACCTGACCAAGTGGGGAAGGAAGGCCTTAGCGACCTTTCTTCTCCGATCCACCTCGAGAGCACGCACCCCCATTAATTCCCTCGCTGTTCTCGCCGCTACCCCAAATGCCTGCTCTCATACCCACCAGCCTCCTCCTCCAGGCAGCCTGCCCAGATTGGCCCCCTCCTCCCTCATCCTTGCACCCTGGCCTCTGATTCCAGTCTCTGCGTCAGCCTGATGGTTGCCTGTGGAGCCGATGCCCAGTGGTTTGGTCCGAACACCCAGCTGCCCGCACCCAGCCACCCTCCCCTCTCCGCTCTGCCCGCCAGAGCTCAGGCCTGGACCCAGCCCTGGAACCAGCCCTGGAGGTCCTGGTAGACCTGGTCGCGGGGCAGGTGGGGGTAGCGGGTGCAGATGGCACAGAAGCGCTCCCGCCAGTCGTCGAACAGCCGCACACGGAGCCAGTCTCGCCAGGCGAAGTAGCGCCGGTACTGGCTGCCATTCATGCCCAGGAGGAAGGCGGCCAGCTCTCGGGCGGAGCCGAAGTCGTCCACGTGCACAAAGGCGTCAGGTGGTGCGAAGGCCTCGTAAGTGGCCCTCGGGGGCCCCAGCACCACGGGCACCGCGCCGGCCGCCAGGGCGTTGTGCCAGAACTTCTCGGTGATGTAGTCCGGGTGCTGCGAGTTCTCAAAGGCCAGGTAAAAGAGGTACCGGGCCACGGTGGGCAGCAGGCAGTTGGTGCACAGTGGCCGCCGGCTGGCTCGGCCAAACACGTCCACCGGCAGGTGAGGCGCCAGCTGCCGGTACAGCTGCACGCGCCGCTGCCGCGCCTGGAAGTTGCTGACCACCCAGGCGGCCACCCCGTTCTTGGCCGGCAGTGGGGGCACGGGTCCCTGGCGGGGCTCCAGGCGGCCGTAGGGCACAAAGATGTCCGAGTCGCGCCGGTAGCTCAGCACCCAGTTGAAGATGCCTCGGAGACGGCTGAGGCCCTGCGTGTGGCTGGGGGACTCCATGGAGGCCCACACCCAGGGCTGCCCGTGCGGCCGCTCAGCCAGGGGCAGGCGGGCCCTCCGGGTCTGCAGCTCTCGGTGGTGGAAGACCACAACGTCGGCGCTGGGCAGCAGGCTGCGGTTGGTGCTCAGGCAGCAGTGAGCCACGCCGTAGCTGGCACAGGTGTTGCTGGGCAGCTCCGGGGGCCGGCTGGCGAAGGGCCAGTGCCAGATCAGGATGGTGAGAGTGCGCTGCGGTGCCGGGACACCCCCAGGGGCCCCTCGGAGCAGCCACAGGATCCAGAGGGCTGTGAGCAGGGCCGCCCCGGGCCAGGCCCCCCACGGCCCGAGGCTTCTGGGCAGAGGCACGCCCTGTGCAGGATGCAGGGAGAGAGGCTGTCTCCCCGAGTTCGCCCACAGCCCTGCCTCCCCGCCCCGGCCTCCTGGAGAACCAGACACTCACCGGCATGGCCCGTCCACGGTTCCCAGAATCAGTCACCCGAGACACCCAGGGCTCTCCAATCACAGCCACCAGGCAGAGGCCCGAAATCACGGCTCCTCGCTGCACTCAGCCGCACCTGGAAGTGAGCGCCTTTCATCTGCCCTGGATGGAGGAAACCGGGGTGCCTCCCACCCACCCGCGCCCTGCCCCACCCCGCCCTGAAGGTGACCTTGGGCAGGAACCACCAACCGCACTCTGCCTCCCCTCCGGTCCTCTGGCTGCTGGAAGGGGGTGGTTACAGCAGGGGCACCAAGCTGGACCCAATTCCATGCCCCCCGATGCTGCCGACCTCTGGGTGGGGACAGGAGGCCGGTGTGGGGGTGCCGCTCAGCCTCAGGAAAGGTGACCCTGCCCTTGAAGGACTCCCCAGAAACGGAGGACCCGGTCCCTGCCCAGCACCCAGGCCTGGGGCCCCCTGGGGAGGCAGGCGGGCTTCCCTCGGAGAGCCCCTGCCAGCGCCGCCCCTGCGGCTTCGGCGGCAGCCACTTCCCCCGCTCACTACCTGCTGGGCTCTGGGCCCGCCGCCCCGCTGGCCTGCTGCGCTCAGCTCTTTGCCAGGCACCGAGGTTTCTGCCGTTGCTCCTCCTGGGGCCACCCCGCCCACCCCTGCCCTTCTAGAACATCTGATGCCAGAATTCAGATTCCCAGGGCGGGGGGGTCCATCCTGAGGCTGGAGGAGTGTCTGTCCACCCGAGGCCCTGGACGTGCCCGCAGCGGGCAGTCGTCAGGCCGGGCCTGGCCCCCGTGGGCTTCGGGGCCTTTTTCCCGGGACACGTATCCAAAGAAGCCCAGGCTGCCACAGACCCAGGGTCCTGGGTGGGAGGGACAGAGCTTCTGCCAGCAGGTCTGAGGGGTGGGAGCGCTTCCCTCGGGGGGGCTCTGGCTCCCATTCTCCGGGCCCCCAGCTCAGGATGAGGGGGGAGCAGGGAGGGGGCTTTCCAGGCTGGAAAGGGAAGCCGTCCTTGTGTCCCTGACATGGGGGCAGGGGGCTGGCGCCTGTGTCAGGAAGAGGAAGGCTCGCCTCCAGGGCCCTTCTCCTCCCCCCTGCAGCCTGGGTCCCAACCTGGAGGTCCAGTTCCTTCCCCTTTTGCTCTGGTTCCTCTGAGCTGGAGACACAGCCAGTGTGGTCATTCGTCCCCGAGCCCCTCCTGCTCCTCACCGTCCGCCTGCGCGGGGCCGTTGGCTCTGTCCACCTCTGCCAGACTCTCGTCTTGTCCTGGGCGTGGGAGGGCAGGTCGGGGCCCCCCAGTCTCTCCTTCTGGAGGCCCCAGGCCCGGCGGGATCTTGGGGGCTGGGGCCAGATGTTACAAAAAGCAGAGCAACCAGCAACTGTCCCAAGGACTGCCGCCCCATGCTTGCCGGGGGGCCTGCGCCCGCCCCCTCTCCTGCCGCCTGCCCTCCCCCACTGCTCTCAGGGAGGAACCGGGAGGTAGTGGTAGACCCACGGGGGCACGGGCACTCCAGAAGGAGGCTCTGGGGGCACTTGGTCCCCAGAGGCTCCCCGCCCCTGGCAGAGCCTCAGAACTGTGGTGGCACCTTGCGCAATGTCTCAGGAGGGGAGGGTGGGCCGCAGGGCCTCTGGGAAAGCAAGTGGCCAGCCCGGGGGGCTGCTGCCCAAGGGCCTGGCTCCCTGCTGGTCAGCACCGGTGCCTGCACAGGGCACACGGCTGCCACCAGCCCTGCCTTTTCCAGTTGCCCTGGTGTTTAGGGAGAAGGCCGGGTGGCACCGAGCCTTTGGTGCTGCCTGGCATCGGTCCCCTGGCAGGCGACCCCAGGGGAGCCACGCCCTGCCCCAGGCCTTGCGTCAGCCCACTGCACCTCCCTGTGGTGGCGGGCACCTCGAGGGCGGCGGGCACACAGGAAGGAGCTGATCCTGTCACAGCCTGCGAGCGCCCTGGCTTCTGGCTGCCAGCACTCTGCCCTTCCTGTTTGCGCGGCCAGGCTGGCCGGGACCCTTGCCGCGGGCCTCACCACACCCCAGCCTGCTCCCTTCCTGGGTGGATTCGAAAGAGCCCGCCACCTCCACGGGGGCTCCGCCGCTCCCCTGACGCGGCTGCCCCTCGGGCTCCTGCCTGGGGCCCCGTTGTGGGAACCTGCTGGCTGGGAAACGGGGCTTCAGGTTTGGCCCAGAAATGGGTCAGAGCGAGAGGCGCTCCGAGGAGAGAGGAGAAGGTGAGAGAGCTGAGTCAGAGGGGAAGTGGGGCCTCGTCCTGCCCTCTCCTCTCCAGGCCTGAGCCTCACAGGGATGCAGATGGGACCCAGCTCCAGCTTCCAGCCTGCGAGCATCTGGAAACTGAGCACCCACCGTCACTCTGCGGCTGAGCCCCTGGCCAGCTGCAGGGCTGACCGCACAGTGGGTGCCAACTGAGCCGAAACGGGGTGGGGGGCGCCTCCAGAAGGCAGGCAACTAGCCTCCTGGTCACCACCCCCCACAGACAATAAGCTGCCCAGCCCCCAACCAAGGGGTGGTGCCTCAGAGGGGGCCAGGGCCCGGGCCCACCTGCCCACCTGCCCACCTGCCCGCTCCCAGGGTAGGCCTGCAGAGGGTGGCGAGCAGCTGGGCACCCCGAGGCCCCCTGGTGGCCGTGCTGCAGAGCCACCTGGCTCCTGGGATGAGGGCGGTAGAGGGAGCCAGAGTGTGCAATTTATTCCCAACCAGAGTGTGGGCAGAGCGCAGTTCAGGGTGCCCCTTAGGGAAGATGGTCCCACTGTGGTTGGCAGGTGGCCCAGGGGCCCCCAGCGCAGGGTGCAGCCAAGGGGACACCGCCAGGGTGGTGCAGGGGGCCAGTGTCAGCAGGCACAGCAGGTATGTTCCTTCCGCCTTGAGTGGGACCCCCCTGAGCCCAGGGGTGCCCCACAGGCCCCAGACCCTCCTCTGCGATGCCCTGTCCTTGCCACCCAGGCTCGGAGCGCGGCCGCGTCTTTGTCCGGGAGGCGCCCCAGGACCCCTGAGTCAGCTCCAGCAACTGGCAGCAGGGCACCGCCCCCCCTCTGCTCCACACTCAGACCTAAGGCCCCTCCCCTCCCTGCTGCACAGCAGGGGGCAGGTTTGCAGCTGGGGGATCAGAACCCACACCTGCCCAGAACTGGGGTCCCCAGAGTCCCCATGGAGCTAGGGCCTCCCTGAGCCCTGAACCTGGCCCACTCTGGGGCCCATGGGAGGGGCTGGGGGAGTTCGGACAAAGTGGGGCGAGCTCTGTCTGGTGGAGCCCGAGGCCAGTGGAAGCTGGGTGGGCAGCAGGGTGCGGGGGGGGGCTCCCTTCCTGGAGGACCAGCCCCTGCCTGCACTTCTTGGGCCCAGGCCCGCCAGCTTCCCTTGAACTGCTGCTACCACTGGAAGGGGCAGCCCCTTAGCTGGGCCCCAGGGAGTGAGCGGCAGGGATACTGGGACGGGTTGGGGACCCCCGAGGAGGGAGAAAGACAGGACACACCAGGTGGCCGCTCTCTGCCTGAGTCGGGGCAGCAGGGGGGTGGACAGGCGAGTCTCAGGACCCCGGGGCCTGAGCCCAGAGGCCTGGAGGGACGTCCTGGCCCCAGAGGGGGAGACAGGCTGGCCAGGACCAGACCCAGCGGCCGTCACTCCCACAGCCCCGGTTTCTCTGTGGCTGTCCCCCCTGAAGGCGCAGGGGAACGGACAGTGGACGGCGGTCCCCTCGCCCTGCCCCCACCCTGCACGGTCCCCAGCCCCTGCACCTGCCTCTCCCACGTCCCACACCGTGTCTGCTGCGGGACCCGGACTGGTGGCTGGGGCGAAGCCACAGGCAAGACCCGCATCCTGTCCCCCCCGCCTTCTGGCCGAGGTGGGCAGCCCGCAGGAGTGGAGGAGCCGGGTGCCCACTGCCAGGTGTCTGTGGGCACCGCTACCAGCCCTTTTTGCCCTGCACGGGATGGGGTACTTCGGGGACTGAAACCGAGTCCAGATGGGCCTGGCCCTGCACTGCACCCCGCTTCCCATTTGGGGCAGAAGTGTTTCGGGGTGAGGGCTGGAAGCCGAGGAGGGTGGGGGTGATCCTCTGAGTCGGAGGAGAGCTGAAGCCCCTGCTTCCCAGCAGGGCACAAAGGTGCCCCTCTCAGCTGTGGGGCTGAACGCTACAAGACCCCACTCCAGGGTCCCCCCAAGCTAGGGTTGGGTCTCCAGCACGGTTGGGGCCCAGGTCCGAGATGCATTTCAGCGGGCTTGTCTGCAGCACTCCCGTCCCGCGTGGTCTGTAGGGCTCCCCCCGCCCCCCTTTGGGCACAGACCCCTGGAGGGCAGATGCAGGGGAACAGCAGGTGCCCTGCCCCCCGGGGGTTTCCGGCCGGCACCCCGGCCCAGCCACACAAACAGCCAGATGTCAGAACGCGGTTTCTTTATTGGGAAACGCGGGTCCTTGGCCCCCCACCCGCGGACCCATTGGTCCTCGAGAGAGTGGGCGTCGATCTTCATGTCACTGCGGCGGGGGCGGCAGGGGCGGCAGGGGCGCGGCCAGCGAGGAGTGGTCGAACAGCGGGTTCCGCACCTCCATCTCCCCAGTCTGCGAAGGCGGGCGTTAGGCGGACTCCGGGTGTGTGTGTGTGGGGGGGGCGGCCCGACCAGCGGAAAGGCCCCCCAGGAGCCGGCCAGCCCCCCCCACCCCGCACTCACCGGGGCCAGGCCCGGGCACTCGTACACCGTGAAGTCGCCATCTTCGTTCTCCTCGTCCGAGGAGGCCGAGTCCAGCTCCTTGGGGGGCTCTTTATGCCTGGTGGGGGCGGGATGGCCGGGTCCGCCCACACCTTCCACGTGCAGGGGCCCCGACTGGAAGCCGGCGGGCGGGGACGGGGGTGGCGGGGCCGGGGGGGGGGGGGTCTGGGGATGGGGGTCGGGCGGGCCTGGGGGGCGTCCGGAAGGGGCATCTCACCGCTCCAGGCAGCGCATCTGCTGCCGCCGGTGCTGGTAGTGGTGCACCTCCGCGCCGCGCGCCAGCTGCTGGTCCCCGGGCTGCGGGGGCGGAGGGAGGGTCAAGCCGCGGAGGAGGGGCCCGGGGCCCGGGCCGGGCAGGGCGAGAGCACGCACCGAGATCTTGGGCGTTGCGGGGGAGCCCGGCGCCTGTGGGGCGGCGTAGTCGACCTTCTGGGTCAGGCGGATGTCCCGCTGCAGCCTGCGGGGGCAGAGCGGAGGCTGAGACCCGCAGCGTCGCCGCCCGCCTCCCCCCCACCCCCACCCCACGCCTGGCTGCCCCGCTCACCTGCACCAACAGAGAGCAGCCACGACGAGGGCCGCTGCGCCGGCCACGGAGGACGCCACGATGACCACTGCGGGCGGGCAGGGTGGGCGGTGAGGGCGACCTGCCTCCAGGCTGGACCCTGCGCCCCGCCCGCCCGGACCTACCGAGGGCGAAGCCGTCACCGCGTCCGTCCCGGGGGTCCAGGGGGGACATGTGCACAGGCCCAGACGACACAGGAGAACCCAAGGAGGCGTGGGTCGTGGGCGCAGAGGCTCCCCGAGTGGAGGGGAGGCTCAGGTCGGGGCCCTGGCCTCGGTCCGAGAGCCCCACGGTGGCCGCTGCAGAGAAGAGTCATCACCGCCGGGCCAGGCAGGGGTTGTGGGGAGCCAGGCAGGGTGGGCGGATGGTGCAGGGGGCTCACCAGCCTCCAGCAGCCGATGGGGCGCCTCAGGCTGCGGTAGGGCCGTGAGCTTCCAGCGCCCTGCCTCCTGCCGGGCTAGCTCCTGGGCCAGGAGGTCAATCTCATCCTCCAGTCTGGGCTGGGGTGGGCCCTCCTCTGGGGACAATGAGAGGCCATCAGGTGGGGGGTCCCCAGCCACTGCCTGACAACACGGGCTGAGGGTGGCCTCCAGACACAGAGGGACCCATCCTGGAGCCAGTCCCCAGGCCCACGCCTCCTGGCTTCTCTTTCCAAGCCCCTCCCAGGCACTGGTGACCTGAGGACTAGGTGTCAGCCTGAAGCCCCTGGCTATCCTGTGTCGCCATGGTGACCGACGGGGTGGGGGAGCTCTGTGGGAGCAGCAGCATTCCCAGGAAAAGGGGGGGCGGCAAGAGGTGGAGGAGCTAGGGGAGTGGGCACAAGCCAGGAGAAGGGCGGGTGCCCCTTGCACCACCTGTTCCCCACAAAGGGGTGGGCAGAGCACTGGGACCACATAACCCTGCACCCATGGCCTGCTGTACCAAGAAGGGCGGTGGCTCCCTGAGGAGTGGGGAGAGGCCCCTTTCTGTCCCCCATCTCCACCAGGAGGGCAGCCCTCTGGGTGACACCGGTGAAGGGGGTGACAGGCCCCCTCCTCCCCATGGTGGGCTCTGCAGGCCAGACCGAGGCTCCAAGTTGACGCCCCACCCAGCAACACGCCACTTCTAGAGCTGCCTACCAGTCTGGACCCCTGCCCGACTCACCGCCAGGAAAGGGCTCCTCCGGGAAGCCCCGCCCACAGGCCCAGACTCTTAGGCACCCCCAGGGCCCTCGGTATTGCCATCTCACACCTGAAGTCACTCAGCCTCCTCTGCTGGCCTCCCCCATTCTGGGCTCGGGGTGGTGGGCGGGTATCCCAGTGGGCAGGGAGGGAAGCAGTGAGCACTGGCGGGGGAGTGGCAGGGGAAGTGGGCACCTGGGGGTGGGGCGGAGCACAGGGGACCCTGCCTCTCCCAGAGTCCACCAACGAGTCCCATCAGACACCCCTGCCTCAGCGCACCACTGGCTCTGGAAAGGACCAGCAGGCCACCTGGAGGGTGACAGGAGAGCGCCCGCATCCCACCGAGCTCAGGGGGCCTGGGAGCTGAGGTTGGGGCGGTGGTCAAGGTGGTGGGGGGGGGTCCCGCTCTGCAGTACCGGGAGGCCGGCGCGCCCTGGGCACACAGAGCCCCCTTCGGTCCTCCCGGAAGGGCTGAAGGCAGGGCCCACAGACGTGAGCGCCCGGGGGGCACCGTGCCCGCCTCTGCAGGGCACAGTCCAGGCTCCCGGGGCAGGCGGCTGCATCTGGGAAGGAAGCAGAGGCAGGCTGAGGTCACAGCCCTGCACAGAGGCAGCACTGTCCCAGGCACCCTCCCCCACCCCACAGAGCTGGCTGGACCTGGCTCCGGCCATTGTTCTGGGCAGGCCCTTCCTCCCCATGGCCAGGGACCAGAACCAGGAAGACAAACAGAGCCAACACTTATCAGAACTGCCCGCCCCACCCGCTCCCCAGAGTCCACTTCCCAGCCCGAGCCAGCCCTCTGCTCGGAAACTGCCCCTCACTGTCCCCACAGCACCGCACTGAGCTCCCGGGAGCAAGGCTGGGCCGCCCTCCACTTTCTGCCTCTGGCCTGGGTTCCCCAGGCACAGGCCTGTCCACGCTGGGAGCCCCGAGGCCAGGCTCAGGCCTCTCTCTGGCTCAGGGGCAGCAAAGGATGCTGGCCTCCCCTCTCCCCGCCCTCAGGGGTGCCCTCCTGACCAGTCAGGCCCTTCTCCAGCCCTAGAGAGCACAGCCAGGGAGCAGGGCAGAACCAGCGCCCAGCCTGGGTGGCAGTGCTCCCCTTATGTCCCACCTCTGGCTTGTCCCCAGGGCACAAGGGCTGCTGCAGCTGTAGGGAGGTCTGGGATGGAGGCGGCCAGTCTCACTCACTTCTGACACCGGGTGTGCCTGGGAATCTGGCCAGGCCCGGGTCCTGGTTCCGGGCCCAGACCAATGTCCTACACACACGACCAATGGATCCCGTCCTGATGCTGGGGGACAGAGGGCAGGGGTCCCCTCTGCCTCAGTTCCCCCTCTGGAATAGAGGGGAATGGCCTCCAAGCTGAGGGATGTCCTGAGCACTGGGACAGGACGCTGGACAGCAGAGCCAGGGGACAGCCCCCAGGACCGTCAACCTGCTGGGGGAGGCTCGGGTGGACCAGGGCCCCTCTCAGCCAAGGCCCTCCCACTGCAGGGGGGTCACCGAGGTCCAGGGTGACCTGGAGGATCAGGGGATGCCCAGCTCCACCCTTCCCCAGGCCCAGGCAGGCCCGGCTCAGTTTCTGTGCTGGCCACACACACGCAGCACTTGGAGGTGACCCCTCCGGGGGCTCCAGCAGCCTCTGCCCTGCACAGCTGGGGCCAGCAGGCCCAGTATCAGGGAGCAGGGCCTGGGGTTTGGGCCTGTTAAACATTAAGCCTGTGCCAGCAGGTCTGTCTGGACCACACCCACCAGCTGGGCACCTGGGGAGCCGGGCTCTCTCTGCCCCTGGCACTGAGGACGCAGAGTGCACCGACCAAGGGCAGGGGCCTGAGGTCCAGCTCTGGCTGCAGGCTCTGGTTTCCAGGAGCCTCCACTGCAGCCCAGGAAGATGTGGCTGCAGCTGTAGAGGCTGCTGGAAAGGTCCCCACTTCAGCCTCAGGGCGCAGGTTCCAGGGACAATGGCCGCTGAAGAGCGGCTGGCACCCCACCCCACATCTGCGGCTGAAGCCCATCTCCTCGGGAGGCCCCACCCAAAGGCCCTGGAGCCCCGCTGCAAGTGGGCAGCCTGAGCCACCCCTGGCCAGCCAAGCTCTGGCCCTTAGGCCCCCTCCCCTGGTCATGCCAGCCTCCCACCTAGAAGGGCTGTGCCCAGGAGGAAGCCTGCCCTGGGCTGTCTCCGAGGCCACACACAGACAACCACGTCTACTCGGTTAACTTCTCAGTGCCTCGGCTTTCTCATCTGTAAAATGGGCTGAAAACAGCACCTCCCTGTGGGGCTGCCAGGAAAACGGAGCGAATGTGTGGGCACAGTGTCCCAGCTCAGCCCCCTGGGGCTCCAGGTCCCCACAGACCGTCACCGCCTGGAACCTCAGTGCCCATCTGGGAGGCAGGCAGGGTCCCCCAGGGCCCCAGGGCTCACTGTAGTCCACCCTGGGAGGTGCCCCTCTGCCCCCAGCACAGAGGGTAGAATGGCAGCAGTGGGACCCTCAAAGGCAAAGGGCGAAGGAGAGAACCTGAGACTGGAAGCTGCCCGTCTCCACTGAAGGTAGAAAACCAAACCCTAAGCATGAGACAAGCTGTCAAACACCCTAGGAACCTTCAGACCGCGGCTATGGCAGCAAAGCAAGGGACACGTCCCACACTGCCCAGGGCATGGGGACAGGCAGATCAGCACTGGTACCCCGACCCCAGGACAGACACGGGTAGCAAGGCACCCGGGGCGAGGCCCGCCCGGCGCAGCACCAGGGAAATGCACACAGGCCGCCAGCGGCAGGCCCACGCGCAGTGCCCTCCAGAGACACGGATACAGACAGGCTCACGGACTTAGAGACAAAAAGCCAAAAAGCGTGTGGACTCTGAGTTCGCCACCGGGAACCTGGGAGAGGCCTAACCAACGGCACCACCCTTCAGAGCCCCCCACCCCCACCCCAGGCCTGTTGCCCCCATCCCGCGCGAGGCGCGGCTGGCGTGGCTGTCAGCGGGCCTCGGCTGCGGGCCCTGCGGGCCCAGGCGAAGGCCTCGGCGCCGAGAGTGACCGCGGAGCTGCGCAGCAGGACCCCAGCCCGGCGCACCCGGGCCCCGGGGCGCCCTGCGACCTGCGCCCAGAGCTGTCGCTCACCCGAGCGGCCGGCAGCGGCACCGCGAAGGGCGACGCCGAGGACTAGGCCGGAGAGAAGCAGCCGCAACAGCCGCAGGTGCCGCGGGGAGGGCGGAGGGACAGGCGTCGCCATCCTTCAGCGCCGCCGCCGGGGCAGCATGGCACCGCAAGGCCCGGGGCTGGGCGCGTCGGCTGAAGCAGAGGAGGAAGAGGAGGTGGAGGCCGAGGAGGAGGAGATGGAGGAGGAAAAGAGGAGGTGGCGGCGGCGTTGACGCTGCGGCAGAGGATCCGGGATGCAGGCGCGGCAGCGAGGCAGCGCGTTGGGAGTGCGCCTGCGCGCTCCACCTGCGGGGGCGGGACCGCGCCTCCAGCCTGAGCCCCTCCCCCCTCTCTGGCTCCGCCAGACCCCCGATTCTCCCGGTCTCTGGGCGCCTCAGCCTCCGCGGCCTCTGCACCCGAGGACCTTCTCTATTCTCCACAAACCCGGGTAGGGACTGGCTGGGGGGGGGGTCTTCCCGGGATGCGCTTCTCCCGCCCTCCCCCTGCCCCCTTGGGGCTGCCACCTCCCACCCACCCCCCATCCGCTGAAGCAGGAGAAGTGACCCGGTCTGGAAGCGCAGTCCCGGGGAACACAGGGACACCAGGCGCGCACGGGGTGGACAGGTGCACGGGAACGCACAGGTGTGCCCCAAAGACGCAGCGGGCACTCAGAGACACGGCCACAAGCAAACACACACAGAGAACTGGGCCGGCGTCGGTGCCACTGGGGTTGGAATGGGGCGGCTGCTCCCAAGTGAAGCCACCAGGGGGCAAGAGTGGCCTGGAGCTGTTGATGTGACTCAGCTGGGAGCTGTCCACGGTCCCCAGGTGACGGGCAGCCTTTCAGTGCCCTGGGGCCCCAGGACAACAAAGCAGTTGTGGCGCCCCCACTTGCACTCCGCTAGTGGCCTCCTCAGAGCACACTCACCCCGTCCCACCTGGAACCCTCCCTCCGGCTCAAGCGGCGGAACCAGGATGAGCCCCCAACGCGGGGCTCCCTCTCGGGCCTTTGCCCGCGGAACTCAGACGGAGAGGCTGGCTGCTCTCAGGTTTGTCCATTGGCTCACACACCGGCACAAGCAGCGCGGTGTGGGGTGGTGGGGACCAAAGCAGCGATGCCCCACAGGGCACTGACCGGACAGAAAAAGGGTCTGAGCTCACGGCCCAGAAAGGTCGGTGCAGGCGGAGGCGCAGCGAAAGCCAGGCTGAGGGGAGGGGCCGCAGGTGGGGGCTGGCTGATGTCTCCCCGGGGCGAAGACAGGCACCCAAGCAGGAGGGGAGCGCTCTGTCTCTCTGCGCGCTGGCCAAGCTTGGCTCTGGAGCAAGGCTGATCCGCTCCCAGAGATGGAGCCCGCGTCCCTCCCGGCCCTACCTTCAGTGTCCCGGCAGGGCACCGCCTTTGCGCCCTCCGCCCCGCTCTTCCAGCACCGAGCGGCCCCCAGGCACCTGGCTTGCTTAGGACTCACTCTCTGTGCCTCTCCGCTCCCCACGCCCGCACGCCAGGCCCGCTCTCCCCAAGGGCCCGGCCTCCTGTCTGGCCTAGGCCCCTGACTCAGGGCTGGGGGTGCTGCAGGGGCTCTCATGGCCAGGGAAAACTCGGGGGCGCAGGGACTCCCCCGGCGGCCACCCAGCAGCCACTCCAAGCCACGAGGGTGGCGCAGGGACCAAGGTCAGCACTGCTCCAGGGCTGGACCCGAGAGGAGGCAGGAGGGGCGGCGGTCCGCCCTGAGCACCGAGAGGGGCGCACCCGCGTGGCTGGCGCAGCTGTGCGGAGGGCGGGCGGGCAGCAGCAGCCTGTCCGGGAAAGACGTTTTATTACCAAGTTTTACAAGCAGGCACTGACTGGGCTGGCCCCTAACCTATGGGCTCTGACTCTCCCCCTAATACAGACCGGGTGTGTGTGTGTTGTGGGGGGGGGGGTGTCTCAGAGGACCCTGATTGTCAGAATAAAGGCTCCACTTCCTGGACACCCACTCCCCGTAGTAATAGGCTGAGGGATATAGGGCGTCTGCCTCGCCCACCCTCTGCAGGAGAAGGGGCACGAGGCCTCGAGACGGAGACAAGGCTGGACAGGCTTGAGGGCTAGGTTCGGTTTCCTCCGCGCTCCCGGCCCCCCGTGGACCCGGGTGCTAGAGTCCTGGTCTCGGTTTCCGGGCCGCATTAGGGGCAGAGACGTGGAGGGCGGTGGGGTGAGGGATGGGCCGGGGGGGGGGGGGGGGGAGACGGGGCTGGGGCAGCTGCCCCCAGCCAGTCGCTAGATGGCGCTCGGCGACTCGGCGGAACACGCCTGGCGCACCAGCAGGACCAGCGCCGCCAGGAGCAAGGCGGCGAAGAGCAGGAGGAGGACTACCCAAGAGCTCAAGTCGATGCCCTTGCGCAGCCCCGGCGGGTCGGCGGGGATCATGTTGGTCAGGTTCAGCATGTAGCCGAGCGCCCAGCCGACCGAAGTGTCCCCCGCCTGCGGGTGAGGAGCTCGGACTCAGCCTTCTTGCAGGCCCGGAGGCCCCGCCCCCACCCGGAGGCCCCGCCCCCCGCCAGTTCCCACCTTCTTCTGGAAGGTCAGGCGGCTGAAGGCACGCTCGTCTTCGAAGCGGTAGCCCCTGCTCAGGAGCTGCTGAATGAACACGGCCACGGCGCAGTAGCTGGGCAGGTGTTTCACTTGCCTCGGCGCCTGAGCCTGCAGCTGAGATGCAGGTGGGGCGATGTTGGGCCCTGGGCTACCAGGGGCTGCCAAGGGTGGGGCTTCAGCAGCCCCATCCCTTCTGGCTCCCCACCCCGCTGCCACCCGGCCACTTTTCGAGTCCGACCAGCGGTGTGTCCTTCACCACACAGCGCCCTTTGAGAAGCCAGCCCCCCCCTTTTCAGGCAACGAATGGCTGGGAAGCTGGGTGACTGGCTGAGCCCTCCCCTGAGGCCCTGGAGGAGGGCTCAGGCCTCACCTCACTCCACGTCTTTTTGCAGATGGTGTCCACAGCCGTGTCCAGTTGCTGTGGGGTGGTCACAGGCAGCCGCATCACCGAGCTCAGGAAGTCCATGGTGTAGAAGAAACCAGAGAAGGCCTGTGTGGCGGGAGTGCGGCCACCCTGAGCCCAGGCCCCAGGTGTTGCAGGGCATCAGCTCCCCTCCCTGTCCCCTGGACTCACGATAAAGTCCCCAGCCACAGGGGGCTGGAAGATGCCATTGAAGGAGCATCGAGAGAAGGGGCAGGATGAGAAGTCGAAGAGCCCCTGGACGAGGACCCGGCAGAGGGCAGGGTTGCTGGTGCCTGCCAGGCTGACATTTCTGCTGCCGTCGAAGGCCTGGGGCCGCAGGGCTGCGGTGCACGGGGACCCATACACTTCCTGGAGCGGCACTTCCCTGGTGTAGCCTCGGGGCCAGCAGGGGTGGGTGCTGCCGTTCTGGGGGACGATGAGGGTGTGGGTCGCACCACCCCCAGGACCCTCAGGTGCTGTTCCCCCAGGACCCTTGGAGGGCCTCCCCAGAGGACCAGCCTGATGGTGTCCCCCAAAATGTACTCGGTGACATCACCACTGCGCTCAGGAGCAAGCCTCCACTCCCCACTGCTGCGGGACAGAAACCAAACCCTTCCGCCAGGCAGACCTGGCCCTCCTCACCCCTCAGCAGGCACCCACCAGGTCCACCCCCAGCCACTGAGCCTTCACCCTGTGCTGGATCCCGCCCCTCCTGTCCTTCCAGCCAATTAGAGCTCACTGGCTGCTGCTGCCTGGAGAAGCCCTCCAGGGCATGGCTGCCCTCTGGGCTCTACCCTGTGCCCTGGGTCCCTCCCCCACACTCCCCCCTCGCCTGCCCCCCCGCAGGGCACGATGGTGGGCACCTGCAGTGTGCTGGCCAGCAGCTTCCAGAGGACCTGGTCTCGGCCATAGCAGAGGAAGCTGTGGGTGTAGACACGGTGTTGCTGGCCGTAAAGCTGCAGCAGGACCTGGTCAGCAGGGTCCTCGACCAGGCTGGTCGTCTCAAAGGTGATCTGCGTGGAGGCGCCTCCCAGGTCCATGGCCCCCAGTGTCCCCTTCCTTGGCCGGTACCACCGGCCTGCCCAGCTGTACTGTGAGGAGTGAAGGCTGGGGTCAGCCAGTGACTGGGTGCCCACACCTGCTGGCTCATTGGGCTGACCGGCAGGCCCACCTTGATGAAGTTCTCCAGCAGGTAGTTGGCGGTCACCCAGCCAAACACCCCCTCCTCCTGGCCAGAGAGGATGTGGGCACCACGGAAGTCGAAGGGGTACTGGGTCAGCGTCCGCGTCACGGCCTCGAGCACCTTGGCGGAGGCCTCTGGACTGGTCAGGCTGGGACACAGGGAAGTCTCTGAGAAGCGTCTTTCCAGGGGCGGGGGCTGTGTACCCTGAGGTACCCGGTGGCCCCCCACCAGCCAAGAGGAGCCAGGCAGAGGGCTGCTGCGGCTGAAGGCATGTGGGGCCCGCCCTGCGCTGAGGCTTCTGGGGGGGGGGGGCCAGGGCCAGGAAGGTCAGGGGACGGGCACACTCACTTGAGCAGGCGCATGCCCGCTGTGGCTCCCAGGTAGAGGGGCGTGCTCCAGTGTCTCTCCCTGGGCACGTCCCGGAGCGCCTGGTCCAGGCATTGAACAAGACTCCGACCAGCCCCAGCAGGGTTGTCTGCGTAGCTGGAGATGCCCCCACCTAGAGGGAGGCCGTGAGAGGGGCCCATGCTGGGCAGTCAGCCCCGGGGCGGGCCACAGGCAAACAAGACTGGGCGCCTTGGGCTCCCAAACAGGGTGGCAGCTTCAGCACACCTTTCCGGCTGAAGCCTTCAGAGACGTCCACAGACGGGCTCGCCTGTGCACCACTGGGAGTCTCTGAGGCTGCCGCCGCAGCAGTGGGTGTGCGCGCAGGTGCCACGACAAAGCCCTGGTCACTGTCATTCGGCCTGGCCTCCCACAAGCCCTGCCGGGGGTGCCCACCAGCTCCTCAGAGCCCCTTTTGCTCCTGCTGGGGAGAAAAGGCTGGTCTCGGGCCAGGCAGGGCCCCAACCTTCCGACCCCTACCCTCTTTCTTTGTACAGTGGAAGTGCCTGCAGCTCCCAGGCGGCCCGGGGCCCTCCCTCCGTTTAGACGTCTCCTGCAGCTCCTGTGTGGGGCAGGCCCTGGGCAGCAGGAGCAGAGGGGCCCATCTACGGAGGCTAAGGCCAGACAGGGCCCCTGAGGCCGTCCAGCGATGAGCATCCAGGCCGGGGTGCACCCTGTGCTTGGGGGACCCTCACCGTGCACGTCACAGGAGCTGTGTTGGCCCACAATGCCCGTGTCGTTCTCTTTGTCTGCAGGCCACTTGTAGATAAACACAGATGTGTGGGAGGAGCCGGCGTCCAGGACGATGCCGTACTGAGGGCGGGGGGGGGTCAGCCTCAGGGGGAGGGGAGGAGTCTGAAGGCCTCGCCCTTTGCCCCCACTCCTGCTTTCCACCCCACCCTACCCTGTGTGGAAGTTGGATGTTCTGAGGCTCAGAGAAGGCCAGGGACACAGATGGGACAGGGGAGAATGGGGCCAGGAGCCTCTCCCCTTCTGAGGCAGGAGCTATCCTGCCTGGCAGGGACACTCTGAGGATTAGTGGGTCCCAGGGCCACCTCTGGAATCTTGTCCCAGGGACGTGAGGTCCACAGGCTCTGGGAGGGAAGCCCAGCTGCAGGAAGAACACTCGAGGCTGGCTCTTCTTCCTCACATCCTGGCCTCTTGGACCGAGGCCCAACCTGAGGATGTGGAAGCCAGGGCCCAGGGAGGCTGGGAGGGCTCCATCCCGGCGGGCCCTGCCTGAAGACACCCGCCCCAGGCCTCTGAGCCAGAGCCACAGAGGGCTGGGCCTGCAGGGCTGAGCGGGCAATGCCACCCTAGCCTCCCGGGCAGGTGGGACAGAAGCACCCAGCTGGCATCTGCCACTTCCTGGAACCTGCCCCCAAGGGCCAGGATTCCAGCAGGCAGAGCCAGACTGGGGAACACACCCACCTGGATGGGGAAGGGGGCACTCCAGTCACCCCCACCCCCACCCCAGGGAACTCCAGCCAATCTCAGGACAACCCATCCACCCACCCCAACTCCACCTGGTGCTGGTCCTTAGCTACAGAGCACCCATCCTGCCAAGGCCTATCCTGGGTTGCTGGCGCCTGCCCCTCACACACGTGCGCACACCCCAAGTCTTCCCCAGCCCCAAGTCCACGAGGGGTTAAGGGAGCCTGCTGGACTCTTGGAGGCTGGGCCTGGCCAGGCCTGGCTCATCCCAGTGCTTTCAGGGCCTGCTCTGTCTGATCCCCGTCGCCCCCCCCCCTCCCAGGCTCCCTTCAAAGGCAGCCACCACTGTCGGGACCACGGGGAGGTGAGGAGGGTTGCCTCGCCTCCAGGACCTTGGCACTCGGTCTGGGTTAAACCCCAAACCAATGCACCCCTGTGGGCTGCCCGGTTCCAGCCGGGTCCTGGGGCGCATCCGGGGAGCAGAGAGACAGCTGCTCAGCCGCGCCCAGGACAGGCTCCGCAGAGGCTCCGCGGGCCGGGACTTCAGCCTCCAGCTCCGCGTCTCCCCGGAAGCGCCGCCGCGGTCCAGCGGATCCAGGCCGCGAGAGGAGCTCACAGGGCCTGGATGCTACCCCGCTGGTCGAGAGCAGAGCGCGCGGGGCCAGGATTCCACCCCGCAGGTTGGGAGCGGAGCGCGGGCGGGGGTCGTGGGCAGCCACGCGGGAGCAGCGTGGCCCTGCACGGACACCGAGCCTCCCCGCCCGCGCCCCACGGGTGCTCCGCGAGCCAGCAGGCACCTTGAAGGCGGGCGGCTCCCGGACTTCGCGAGTAGGGACACACAGCAGCAGGAGGCCGCAGAGGCCCGCGGCGGCCAGCAGCAACGGCAGCAGCAGCGGCAGCACCTTCTGGGCCATGGGCGGGTGGCGGACCGACCCGGCGGTGACGGAGGGGCGGCGGGGAGCTGGGAGGCCGAGGTCCCGGCCCAGGGGTAGGCGCCCGGGGCGGGGCGAAGACCCGCAGCAGCCACGGCAGGCCACGCCCACCGCTGACACGCCCACCGCCCTCCATGGGCGCGCTCCTGCAAGCGCCGGTGAGTCACCCTGCCTTCCCTGCGCCCTGAGGTTGTTGCCTACCCTCCTGCCTGCCCACGGACCCCTCCTCACCCGAAAACTCCCGTCCTCCGACCTGCCCGCCGACCCCCAAGGGCTGACCTACACTGGCCTGTCCGCCTGTGGACCAGCAGCTCCACTTCTGCAGGACCTGCGGCTTTGGGCGAGAGGCGTGGCACGGGGGTGGGCCGGCTGGCTCCCAGGCGGGCGGCCCCCTGTCCTACCTTCCCTGCGTCTGGTTCCAGGGACCCTGAGCTGACCCAAGCTGGTGCTGAAAGCTCAGAGCTGAGCAGCGAGCAGACCTGTGTCACAGGGGTCCCAGCATGGAGGTGACAGGTGAGGATACAGGCAGAGAAGTGCAGATTGGCTATCGTCATTCCAAGTCCAGAAGCAAGTGACCTCCTGGTCCTGGGCCACCTCTGCTGCCTCCTGTGCTTGGGGGGTGGGGTCCAGAAGCCTGGACAGGGACGGCCAGAGGCTTCCCGAGGAGGAAGCTGGAGGGGACTCTCCTCAGCCCTCACGGGAGGCCTTGTGCTGGAGATGAGGGAGATGTCCCCCCGCCAGGCTTGACAGCATGCGCGTCCCTGGATGCTGGCTGGTATGGGCCACAGCTCAGCCCACCCCAAAACCAACTCTGTCCTTCCACCCCGCCAAGTGTCTGGCCTCTGTGCTCTGACACCCCCCACGCCCTGGCGACGGCTTGGCCAAGCATCACCCCTTTCTCTGGCCAGTGGCCATTTCCCTTTGTGCCCTCGGCAGAGCGGGAATTCCAGCATCAAGAACTCAGCCAAACAGAAGCCGTGTGGCAAGACCACCAGAGTGCCAGTGGCTGGGGGAGGCGGAGGCCAGAAGGGTGGTGTGTGATGGGGACAGGGGCTGGGCCACACCCTGGTCATTGGAACCGGCAGGGTCCACTGTGCTGGGACGGCTGCCCAGGCTGAGGGTCCAGGGTCACAGGCTCAGCAGAAGAGGCCTTCTTTCAGTTCAGGACCTCAGGACCCCGCCGGGAAGGGTGGGAAGCCCAGGAGTTGGCTCAGCCTCCGAAAAGCCCCGCCAGGCTGGGCCCCGGCTGAGCGTGTCCGGGCAGCCCTCCAGCCCCCTCCCCCCGGCCGGGAGACGCTTCTTCCACCCAGAAAGCCCAGAGGCGGGAGACGCTTGCACTGGGGGCTGGAAAGGACAAAGGCAGCCGGAGCAGCCCAGCGGCCCTTAGAAGGGCATGAAAGGCAGGCGTGCTGGAGGCCTGGCCCCCCGGAGCCCCCACCTCGCCCCACTGGGCCCAAGCAGGGCTCCCTGATGTCCTGAGCTGCCCTTGCATGGAGCGCCCCCTCCCCCCGGGCCTGAGGGGATGGGGTTTGGATGCCGCCTTCGGGGAACCGGTGTGTGGCGCAACACCCAGCAGAGCCCGGGAACAGAAGGGAAGGCGGTGGGGAGCAGGAAGCAGCTGGGCCGGGCGGAGGCCGGGAGTGAGTTCTGTTCTGGGGAACAAGCACAGAAACGTCCCTTCTTGGCACAGAGAAGTCCTTGGGGAGCTAGGGCCCTGGAAGGGGGTGGGGGTGGGTGGGGGTGTGCGAGGCCAGCCCTGGCCCCGGGCGCCCCGGGCTTGCAGAACCTCGGCAGGGGCGGGGCCCCAGATGTGCGGCAGCCGGGCGTGGACCGGCTCCAGGCGGGACTTGTGCCGAGAGGCGTGGGAGGGCCCTCGGGAGAGGGGTCCTGGAGCCCACGCCAGGGGCCAGACCTCCCACGCAGGGTGGGGACGGTCACAGAGGTCTCGGCTGCCTCTGCCCCAGTCTCCCCGTCGGAAACTTCGGTGTCTGGTGGCTGGAACACCTTAGCAGGTGAGGGCTCTTGGGCCTGTGTGGTCACTGGACCAGCTCCGGCCACCGCAGGAAGCAGGGCGCGCATGGACTCTGTGCTGTGGACACCGGGGCCCCCACCAACCGGCCTTAGGGAGCAGGCTGGTCAGAGGCCCCCTCCCCGGAGGGGACCCTGTGCTGCCTGCCACGTGTTCCCACCCCACAGCAGAGCAGGGGACAGAGACAGTGCAGCAGCAGGTCGACCCCGACCAGGTGGGAGGTGCCTGTCCCTCGCTCGCCTGCCTGTCTTCCCCTTGTGGTGCGTCTGCCCGGAGAACAGTGTGGTTTCCCCGAGGCTTCGGACCGCGTGCGACTCCCTGCAGGATGGCCCTGCTGCTCAGGCCCCGGCTGCATCGGTGACGGCAGGTGCAGCTGGTCCGTGCTGACCTCGGCTGCGGCGGGGGGGGGGGGGGGGGGGGGGTCTGTGCTGTCACTGACCCACTTAAGATTTTATTCATTTTGTTTTCAGAGAGCAGGGGAGGGAGAGAGGAAGAGAAACAACTGATGTGAGAGACATACGTCATAAGCCCGACTGGGGACCTGGCCTGCAACCCAGGGATGCGCCCTGAGTGGAACTTGAACCTGTGACCTTGTGGTGCTCAGGCTGGCGCTCGAGCCGCTGAGCCACACCAGCCACGACTCCACCCATCCTTATGATTTTCTAAATCACACCTCTTTTCTCTAGATTACTTTCTTATAAGAGTACGGTACGGTGTATGATACACGAAATACACGTTAAATGTTTCTGTTATTAGTAAGATTCTGAGTCAACAGTTGGCTCTCAGCAGCCTCGTTTTGGGGGAGTTTTTGGCTGTGTGGGGGTGCAGTGCCCCAACCCCCACTGTTCTCGCATCGGTGACGCCCCGAGCATCAGTGCGCTGGCTGTGTGGTCCTCACGCGTCCACGTGGGTCTGCCCCGGCCCTTTCTCCTCCTCCTGCGGGTCTGGACTTGCTGCCAGCCTTCGGTCGCCTGGCTGGGGTGTGCTTTCCACGGCGTGTGTGTGTGTGGGGGGGGTCCACTTCCTGCGTTTTCATCTGGGGAAGACGTGTGGACACCCGTGGGCCCTGAGGTCACAGGTGGGGCCGCCATTCACCACCCAGGTACCTTCTTCACTTCTTTTCCTGGAACCCTCAGCCTCCCACGGAAATTTGGGAACGGCCTGCCCAAATTCCTTGAATAACTGCTGTGATTTGGTGGTGAGTACGTTGAACCTACACGCCAACTGCTGAAAAGGACCCCTTCAGACACCGAGTCTTGGACCTAAAGCCGTGGTTCATTTCTCTCCTTCCTTAGGCTTTCTCATAGGCCTTTCAGGAAAGTTTTAAATAATTTTCTCCTTAAAGTTCCCCCACGTTTTTCTTAGGTTTACTGCTTGGTACACACATACTACTTTACAGTTTTAAATCAGATTTTCTCAGGACTTTTTGGTGCTGATTTATAGAAGAAACTCAGCGGACTTTAACCTGTTTATTATATCACCAGAACCCTGTTAAATTCTCAATAATTCTAATACTGTGTCAGTAAAATTTTGAATAGCATTGCCCATAATAGGCAGGACCATTTTCTTTAGGATCAAAGAAGAGAATGCTTTCAACATTCCACCATTAAGCACAGTGTTTGCCGAGGGCTTTTTTGTAAATGCTTAGCTCCCGGCCATTTTTTACAAACAGACAGGCGAACGTGAGCAGCCACTGGGCACAGTTGGACGCTTCTGTCCACACCCCTGGCAGGCCTATTTTCTGTTCATACTGTGGATTACAGCACTTTTTAAAATATTGAACTAATATTGCCTTGGAACTGTTACAGCACAGGGTCTGGGGGTAACGGTACACTATGACCAAAAGGACCCCCCAGGTTCGAATTGTCCACCGTCAGAGGAAAGACGTCTCTCAGTGCCAGAGATTTGTGAAAAGGAAAGGAAATGTTTATTTAAAGCTATACAGACTTAGAGTAGTGACCTACCATCTTCATTAAAACATCACAGTCCCTTAGGGCACCCGCAGATGCACACAGTCCTCCCTGCTCCCTCTGCCCTAATCTGGGCACCGCATCTCAGGAAAGAAGTAGATTCAGGCTCCCGGCACCATCAGCTGTGTCGTCGGCCAGGATCAAGCCGCGTGGTTCTCCTTGGCAAAGCTGTGAAGGGGTCTTTACTCTGCCACAGCCTGGTGGTGACTCTCTGCTAAAGCTGCATGACCCTCTCCTGCCGCCTGGGGATTCGCCCTCACGTGGCTGCGGGGGTCCCCACTCTGGCCAATGCCGCGTGGTTCCCTCCTCACATGGCTGCTGCATCTGGGTTTAAATCCCCACGCCGGCCTTCCTCTGTACCCCCATTTCCGACTCCTCCTACTGTCATTATGCCTGCCAGCATTCCTGTATTATCCCCAGTTTACTGGGCCGCCATCGTGGGTCTGGGCAGGTGTGGCCCCCTGTCATGGAGCCAGTCCTCTCCAAGCTCTCACGCAGGCGCTGTAACTCGGGGGACCTGCTCCCCAGTTACATCTTGGGTGGAAATCACTTCCATCCCCCGGCTCAAGGCATGGCCACAGCTATGTAACATCTATGCAGCCAGCCAAAGGCTATGGGTACGTCCAATGACCCTGCCACGGAATAGCGGCAAAGCCGTGGCTGTGCAAAACAGCCCTGTGTGCTCCTGCCCCACGTGTCCCTCCCCCCAACTCACACCTGTGGGGGAAGGGGGAGGACATAGATATATGTATGTCCTGTATATCTCTCCAATATTTCCTGGACACCTTGAGCTCTGGAGCCCATTCCAAGTCCCTGTTTGGGGCCCCCCTCTTGGCTGCACCCTGTTTCAGAGCCCGAAGGGACCCCGCGGTGGATGGGCGGCTCATTTCCTGTGTTACGGAATGGGATGACTCTCTATTTTTCTATTGTTGCAAAAATCCCACAGGGGGGTGAATTCAGGGCCCTAAATGTTGATCTGAAACAGTCACAGGGATTCATGTCCCTGACATCTGGCTCGGACGCCTGGCGGGGCAGCCGCGGGCCTGGTGCTGTCCTCACGGTCGGCTGGGGGCTTACTGCCGGTCAGTTCCTCCGTGGGCGTGGCACTGGCGGGGTCTCTGCTCCAGCCTGAGTTAGTTTCGTGTTTTTTGAGAAATTGACCCCCTTCAAATGGCTTGGGGTGGCCTCATGCTTTCTTTTAAAGAGACTTTCGCAATTCTCTTATTTATTTATTTATTTGCTTTCAAGGATTGTATGTATTCACTTTTGAGAGAGGGGAAAGGAGGGAGAGAAACATCCATGTGCAGGAAATCCATCTATCAGTTGCCTCTCACGCACCCCCCGCCCCGCCCCGCCCCGACCAGGACCTGGCCGACAGCCCAGGCATGTGCCCTGACCGGGAATCAAACCGGCGACCTATCGGCCTGCGGGCTGGCTGGCGCTCAGTCCTCGGAGCCGCAGCAGCCAGGGTGTTATCACAGTTTCATCGTAGTCCATCTGGTTGGGGTGCAGCAGTGTCTCCCTGCAGCTGCAGTGTGCCTCTCTTTTTTAGTGTGCATTTTGGTTGCTTTCTCTGGCGTGCATTTTTCTAACGGTTAACTTGTTAACGGTTAACAGCTTCTACACCCTCCGCACCTGCTCTTCGGTGAGGTGTCTGCATACCTGCCGTGAGGTATGTATTTGGGGGCTGTGTTCTTAGTTGGTGGCTGTTATATTTTCTTGGTAAATTAAGCCTTTTCTTATTACATAGTTATTCTCTTCATCACTAGTAGTGTCTCTCGCCTTAAAAATCTACTTTGTTTTATATTAATACAACTACTTGGGTTTATTTTGTGTGTGTTGTTATATTTTAGGTGTGTCTCTCACCAGTTTTTACCTGGATTTCTAAAAACCCAAGCTGACAACTTTGTCCTGAACCAGTGTGATCTGTTCACCTTTGTGGCGATCACTAATGTTTCTCTAGTCTTACGTGATTCCTGAATTCTCCCCTTTTCTTCTCAGGGTCGACTTCTTCCTTTCTTCCCCCTCTGACCCCTCCCCCAGAAGATACACAGCGGACACCTGTTTTTTAAAACGGTTTTCTCCTAGCTACGCCAACGCACTTCCTAAAGGCTGGGTAACGCCCCTTCCCTCCTGCGAGCGAACCCCTGCGGACTCACCCCCATCACGGCCTCCTGCCCATGTGCCCGGGGCTGCCCGCCCCCCGAGTTCGCGTGAGCGTCTTTGTGATGTTTACCGCCAGTGTTCACTTAGACCCCCCGCATATTTAATGGCACGTTCTCGTTGACTTGAAAACGGGTGCACGGCTCTGGCTGGTGCGGCTCGGTCAGTGGAAGGTCCGCAGGTTGCGGGTTTGACCCCACGTCTGGGCCGGACGCGTCTGGGCCAGGCACCTTCGGCCTGGGCCGGATGGGAGCCAATCGGGGCTCCTCTCTCCTCCTCTTTTTCCGAAAGTGGTGAGGAAGCATCCTTGGTGCGGGTAGGACATATGTGTGCGCACCGATTACTTGGGAAGGTGGAGCCCGATTTCTTTCACATCCTTTGCGAAAGGACAGGCTTGCGAGGAACAGAAGACAGTGACGATGTGACTCATTGGTGACCCAGAGACCGGAAAAGGTGCCTGGGTTCTTCCCGGTCATGTGCCCCAAGGGAACCAACGGTTACACCCAAGTGAGGACACCCTGTGGGCACCAGAAACCAAGGAGCTGTGCCGCAAGCCCGGCGGGTGTGCCACCTGGGCAGCGGGCCCTTCAGCACCCTAACTCCAGCCCTACCTCCTGCTGGGGGCCTGGCCCACAACCCAGGCACGTGCCCTGACCGGGAATTGAACTGGCGACCTTCCGGTTTGCAGGCCAGCACTCATCCCACTGAGCCACACCAGCCAGGGTTCAAATTTTTTTGACAATGTTCCTATTTTGCCTTCATTTTTGAAACCTAGTTTCCCTGGGGATGGCCTTCTGGGTGAAGGTCCCGCTGTCACGGCATCGAAGGCACAGTCACTGGTGTAATGGCAGCTCCTGGGCAGGCCATTGTTTTGCCCCCAGCCTTTCATGATCTTGTGTGAGGTGTGCGGTCTTTATTCACCCCAGCTGGGGCCCCTGGTCCTGCAGCAGTTCTGGAAAAATGGGAATCTTTCCTCCCGTATTCCCCACCCCTCCCTGGCCCTGCAGGACACCCGCCCAGAACAGCCCTCCCCGCCCCGCTGGACCCGCCCCTTTCCCCCACCTGCCGTCCACTCTGCCGCCTCCCCGAGAACTTCCCGAGGTTCGGGCCACTCGAGTTTTTAATCTCAACCCCATATTTGTGTTTCTAGAACTTCCATTTGATTTTTTTAATACTTTACTGGGTAGAGTAGGAACCATAAAGACTATTCCTTGTTCACATTTCCAAGGGTCTTTTATTTCCTTAGACATTTACAAGTTACTTTGTATCCCGGTAGTTCCAGCATCTGAAAACTCTCGTCTCTGGTTTCTGCCGGGGCCTTTCCTTGTTTGTGAAGGTTTGCTTTCACCCAACGATGCTCGCTTTCCTTGCAACTTGCACTGCCTGGGGGCAAAGGCTTCCACCCAAAGCTGTCTATACCCCCGCCTGCGTCTCAGGCATTTTGGTTGTTTCTGGGGGTCCAGTGAGAAGTGGGGAATGTGGTTCGGCACCCTGCAGGGAATGGGAGCCCCCACACTTCACTGTGCCAGGTGTGGGGGGGCTCTCCAGAGCTGTCTGCCCCTCTGTGCCGGCGGCCTGGCCCTGCCAACCTGGGACCACCTCAGATCCTGCTCTTGAGGCCTCTAGGGCCACGCAGACAAGTGGATGTCACCCTGCATGGAACATCAGGGCCAAGGGAGGCCACTCTCCCCGTCTCCTTTGCAGAAGGGGTCAGCTTCATGTGGGAAGTCTCTGAGGACAGTCACCCCGGGCAGACCTGTGTCCTGTCTCCTGCCTCCCAAGGCCCCAGGCTGCTTCAACCCCAGGACGGAGCGGTGTGTGCAAAGCCCAGAGGCGGGAGGTGGGTTGTGCAGCTCCAGCTGCCGCAGACTTGGGTGGGGGCTTGTGGTCCGTGTCACTGGGGCCTGGGTCTGCAAGTGACAGGGTCCCAGAAGCACTGGCAGCAGGGATGGTGGCTTGCAGTTCCACAAATGTCAGGGCTGCATGTGGAGAACCGGAGGCTGAGCAACCCCCAGTGAGAGCGGGTGCAGGAGCGGGGCTGTCTGGGGCACAGGTCATGGACTGAGAGGGGGCTCAGATCCAGAACCTGGAGGGCAGGCTCAGCCTGATGACCGGGACCCCTCCTCAGCTGGCACTGGTCTAATGGGGGCACCGCAAGTCCACCTGGGTGCTGGTGACCGCCCCCTGGCCTTCTGGCCCTGCCCCCTTCCTGCCCCCCTCCCAGGGGGACCCGACACCAGACTCTCCCTGAGTCCCGCAGCGCCCCTTTTCTGAGCAAAGTGCTGTCTTGCAGCCCAGATCTGGGGGCTGAGCAGGAGCGGGGGGGGGGGGGGAGGCTGTGATAGGTGGGGGTGCCCACCAGGTACCTTGGGGCATTCCTGGGATTCCCGGGCTCACCACTGCCCCCTGGTGAGGGCCACACTGGAGTCAGCTGGCCCCCATAGGTGCCTCGGCCTGGTTGCCAGGTAGACCCAAGGTGCTGAGCTGGGTCACAGACCGCCATGTGGGCACATCTGGGTTGAGCCTCAGCCAGGAGGGATGACAGCTAACCCGGGTTGGTTTAGGGTCCGGAGTCTGTGTGGCTGCCCTGCCAGCCTCACTCCAGGAACCCTCAGCCATCCCAAGGGGCGGGGCGGGGCCCTGGAACCAGGCACAGGTAGACCCCACCCCTCACTCAGAGCCATCCTCACCCCCTCCATCCATTTCTGGTGAAAGACAGCTTCCTAGTCTTGGAGTCCTAGGTTGGGAGAAGATGCTCTTGGGCTCCCAGGCCCAGTCACCTGCTGCACCTTCAGGTGTTCTGCCCACCCCAGGTTCCTGAATATCCCCTCCCCATGAGACTCCACTGCGGGCGCTCAGGGGGGCCAAGAGCAGCGTGCAGGTGGTGCCCTCTGCTGGCTACTGTCAGAAGTGCAGCCGAGTGGGACCAGGGCCTTTAACTGGAGATCCCAGGTGGGAGGGGAGACAGGCCGCTGTAAACATGAGGCCGGGCAGCCACAGGCCCACCTGACCCAGGCGGCCTGACATCTGGTAAACACGAGGAGGAGTCTCTACTCTCCGCAACCCCGGCAGCAGCAGCAGCTTCAAACTGTGCCTGCACAACGGAGCCCTGCCCAGGTCAGCTCCCCAGCCCCAGGCCAGGACCAAAGGGCATCCTGGGGCGGCCCACCTGCGGAGGGGGGAGGGCTATGTCCGTGCCCACACCAGGCTGGGAGGCCCATGGCCCTGCCGGTGGCCACTAGATGAAGGTGGAGTCCAGAGGCCCAGCGTCCTGCTGGCTGAGGGCTCGGGCCTCAAACAGCTGCTTGATGAGGGCAGACTTCTCCTGCTCCAGCTGTGTGATCCGCTCACTCTTGTCCGTCACCTCCTAGCGGGTGGGGGGCAGTCAGGGCCGGCCAGGCTGCGGCCACCTCCCAGCCCGCCCGCACCTCACCTGAGTGAGCAGCCGGTTCTGCTCCTTCAGCATCAGGATGGTCTGCTGCTGCCGGCCTGGCGCAGGGGGTGAGGCAGGGACCAGGCTGGGGCCAGGGGCCCCTGAGGAAGAGGGGGGCGGAGCCTGCGGGAGGGCAGAGTCAGGCAGGTCTGGCATCTCCTGCTCGGCCTCTAAGACAGGGAGTGGGGCAGCCGGGGCACTCACTGAGCCGGCACAGGCTGCAGCCAGCAGTTCCCCCAGGCACCGGGCCACCTCTTGCACCTTGGGCAGCAATCTCCCCAGTGGGCGGGGGCTCCCCTCAGCCCCAAAGTCCTGGGAGGAAACAGGGAAGGGGGGGGTCAGAGAACAGGGCCATTCCAGGGAAAGCCACCATGCCTCGAGGGAGTACCCACAGCTGGCTCTCCTGCCCCAGAAGTTACTGCTCAGAGCTGACCAAGGGTGCTGCTGGGGGGGACCTCTCCATGGGGGGCCCCAGCACCCTGGGTGGAGAGACAGCTACTGTGCCCCGAAGAGGGGGGCAGTCCTATACCTGCCGGGGTGCTGGGCACAGGTGGGTGGTCGCTGGGGGCGGCACAGGTGGGTGGTCGCTGGGGGCGGGGGGCGGGCAGTGTCACTCACGGAGCTGGCCCTGCTCTGGCCCAGGCGGCGCTGGCGCTCCTGCACTCGCTGCAGCTGCTGCTGGTACCACTCACGGCCCCGGGCCATCATCTGCAGCCCCTGCAGCAGCACCTCCTTCTCCTGCTCCAGCTCCGCCATCTGCTTCAGCTGCCGCGAGCAGGGATGCACATGGGCCAGTGAGCACACACGCGGTGTGGCCTGCACGCACCTACCCATGGGCACGCCTGTGTGTGGTCCCTCACATGCCTCCGCCCCGGGGAGCAGAGCCCTGCTGCCCCTCCGGGGGGCCCGGCCTTCTCAGCCCCTGGACACAGGTCTCCTCAGGGAACACAGTGAGCTAGGCCCCTGAGCAGAGAGGAGCGTCAGGCAGCAGCTGGGGTAGGGGTACTACCAGGGAGGGGCCAAGCCCATGGCCACAGCACACCCACCTCGCCGCCTCCCTGAAGGACCTCCTGACCTGACTGCGGGCCATTCCATCCCTCGGGTGGATTCAAGCCCGGGTGGGGAGAGGTATTCGGAACTGACCCCCTTGCCTGTCGCGGGTCACCCCCAGAACCCAGGCTTGGCTGCCCCCTCCCAGGCAGAGGGGTTGTCCAGGAGACCAAATGTGGGGGCTGAGTCCAATCCTAGGCAAGACAGACAGAGCCCCAGAGCCCCAGGACCCCCCGCTCACCAGGTCACAGTCCACTCCGTGGGTGATGGTGTGCCTCCGCCGTTCGCCTCGGGCACGGGGGGCCCGCCGTGCGTCCCCCACGCCTGGCTCCCAGGCCCTGCAGGCCGCCGCACCTGCAGCAGATGTCCCGGCCAGGCTCACCTCCAAGTCTGCCTAGTCAGGTGGACCCCCGCGGCTGGTTTCCAGGGCCATCGGGGCCACACTCCCACCACCCCGTGAAGCAAAACTCAGCCCAGGCCTGCAGGCCTCTGGACCCTCTCCAGACACTGCCCACCTCAGTCCGGCCACAGAGCCTCGGGAAGCACACCAGCCTGCCCACACCTCACCTCTGTGCCTGGCTGGGGTCCGGTCCCCACTTGACACCCACCAGCTCTCCTCACGCCTGGGGCCTGTGGCTGCATGTCCACACAAGCCACATATGTGTGCACATACATGTGCAGGGTGTGGGGGGAGACGCTTCTCTCCATGTACTGGGCCTCAGGGGTGGGTTCCTACAGCCAACAGGTGGGGGCATGGGTGGCAGGGACCTGACGTGCCCCAGGTGGGGGTCGCAGCTCGGTCAGTCCTCGCCTGTGTGCAGACACAGCGCACTAAGCGGGAACAGGAGCTTCCGCAGCCCACACCGCAGCCAGAAAGCCTGGGTTGCCTGTGAGAGGCTCCTGGAGGGCCGGCCGCTCCTTGGAGTCCGGGGAGCGTGTGCAGGGCCTCCTGGGAGGGGAGGATGGGGTGCCGGTGCGCAGGGGCCCCCTCCTCTGGCTCCCTCGCCCTACCCACCACAGCAGGCTCATCTTCAGAGGCCGTGGGAGTAGGTGGGTGATGCAAGCTGGGGTGCAGGTGTGCCCGGCAGGGACACATCCAGGGGGCGGCAGAAGGTGGTATGTGGGTTGCCAGCCAGCCCTGGCAGACGGGCTCTGAACAGCCCTAGAGTTCGCGTTCCAGCCTGCAGTGCTGTGTGGCAGAGAAGGCACAGGGAGAGGCGGGGAGAGGCGGGGACGCTCCAGAACGCCTGGGCCCGGTCTGCACCACCAGGTCCACAGGCAGACCCAGGCTACCCTGCAACGGCACACTGGACGTCGACGACCGGGAGGCAGAGAGCAGGGCGGGGGAGGGTGGAAGAGGCTGAGGCAGGGGTCCGGGGAGGCTGGCAAGCAGAAGGCAGCACCGAAAAGGCTGGAAGCTGCCATCCTGCAGGTTCTGCTCCCAGGGCAGGCATGGGGGCCTTCAGCCATCTCTGTCCCTGCCCACCGGACCAGAAGCCAGGTCCAGCCCCAGGGGCTGGGCATCCCCTGGAGCTGGACAACCCCAGGGGCTGTGGCCCGTGTTCCTTCCCAGCCCCACAGGCCTCCAAGCCCTCCCCCCCCCCCCCAACCAGGCCAGGTCCTCCTGCAGAAGCAGCCCCCATCTGCCAGGAGCTCAGCGGGGACAGTGGGCCCAACCCTCTTGGCCCAGCCATCAGACTGAGAAAGGACCCAAGTAGGAAAAGCAGTCCCCTCCACCGTCCAGGAGACCCTCTTGTCTACATGGGAAGGAAGCGCCTCTGCCTTGGCCAGGGGTGTCCAACCTGCGGCCCAGGGTAGTTGTGAGTGCAGCACAACACAAAGCCATAACTTCACCTAAAACATTGAGACTTCTTTTGTCATTACGTGTTGCAACGTACTTAACGCATGGCTCAAGACAACTCTTCTTCCAGTGTGGCGCAAAGGCGCCAATAGGCTGGACACCTTTGGGCCCTAAGCAGTCACCAGGGATGAAACTACGGCCAAGGTGTCCCCAGTGCCCAGCGCATGTTTGGAACAGAGCGAGTTCCTGGTGGGGTTTGCGGAAGTCACCCACCAGCCCCTTGGCCCTGGTGGCCTCACTCTGTGGTAGGGAGTACACGGACAGGTACGAGGCCTCTTTCCCTTCCAGGCTCAGGAGCCCAGGAAAGGCAGCCCGTCCCCGCCCCCGGTGGGCGATGCACGGGCGGCACCTCTCTCGCTCCCGCCTCAGGTGTGGACCGGGGTGGGGCGCTACGAGGCCAGCTGCCCCGCACTCACCAGCGTCGGCGCTCGGGCTCCGCTCCAGCGCCGCTCCCTGCGGCCTCTCCGGCTCTGCGAGACCAGGCGCCGCCTCAGCCGGGCCGCACAACTTTTCTAGACTCCGGGCGGTGCCTCCGGGGTCGGCCGCTGGGAGGCGCGCACCCAATGGCAAGGGCTTCCTCTCAAGGACCGTCCGCGGCTCGTCTGCGGGCGCGAACACTAGGCGCTGGGGAGGAGGCGGAGGCTGCGGCTGTCCCCCTGGGCGCTCTGGGCCGCCTCCCCGGGCGGGGGCGCGAGCCGGGCCTCGGGTGCCTCGGTCGGCGCTCAGTAGCGAGGTGCGCAGGCCGGCCACGAAGCGCTCGAAGGTCAGGTAGCCGCTGGCCGGGGCCACCTGGCGCAGGCCCTCGAGCACGCCGCGGGGCAGCTCGCGCGCGTCGGCGCCCTGCCAGCGGGACTCGATCTCCCGCAGGTGCACGTAGCCGCGCCGTCGGTCGTCCAGGATATCAAAGAGGGTGCGCAGGCTCTGCAGGAAGGCGCGCGGCAGCCCCTCTGTGCTGGGCTCCGGGGGCACGGCGGGCGGCGGGCGGCCCGGCTCGGCCATCGCGGATCCTGCCATGGGCCCGCTGGCCGGGCTCCGTGCTGGCCCGCCCCAGGCTGAGTCCCCGCGTGGGCCCCGGCCCCTCGCGGCTCGACAGTCGGGGGAGCAGGCGCACGCACCCCACAGCGACAATAGCTGCTACTTTTTGAATGAGCCTCCTCGTGGCGTCAGTGCTCATTAGCATTCGCGGCGGCCATTGGCTAAGGCTGGCTCATCTTCTCCCTGATTGGCTGAGAGGCCGCCAGCCGGGTTTGATTTTTCCGGCCGAAGGGCCAGCTCCCAGGGCGCTCCCGCCGCGATGCCTGTAGGAGCCGGGGCCGTGCGGAGGCCCAGAGCTGGTAGGGGCGGCGTCCGCCCACTCCTTCTTCCTCCCGGCCTCCTTGGGTGAGGGAAGGAGACCCAGGGGACCTTCTGATCTCCACCGCCATCACACCAATCCTGTCGCCGCGGCTCATACCTCTCTCGGATTGGCCGCAGGGCTTACCTCTCCGAGGGGCGGGGCCTGGCGTCCAATACAAAACCTGTCCCCAGGTGGCCTATTGGGGTAAGGCTGGGGAGTACACCCTCTAGGGACCCACCTACTCCCTAGCTCCCCTGGGCACTCTTCGCTGAGGGTCTTGAGCACAGACACCGCGGACTCTGGAGCCTCTTTCTCTTGCCACAGGTGGGCCCCAAGAGGATTGTGGGCTCCAGCCAGCTGGGCGCTTCCCCTCACAGAGGCCTCTCTGTCCCCACTGCTGCTAGCCCCTCCCCCGGTCCCTGGGGGCAGCCTGGCCTTTCCTGCCTGTTGCAGGACAAAGCCACTTTTTGCTGTGTCCCCAGATCCCCATCTGGTGACCAGCTCGCCTCACTTCCCAAGGTCCTCTGCTCCAGACTCTTCCTTCCGATGGACACCCCCTCCACCTGCTCTCTGAGCGCTCATGGCCTCCTCAGGCCGGCCAGGCAGCCCTGCGTGCCCTGGACCCTTTCTTTCCAGCCAGATCGTCACTGTCTGGTCAGTCCGGGCTGGCCCAGGAGGCCTGGCCTGCTGTCCAGCTCTGGACCCCGTCTCAAGGAGCTGCCCAGAGGCTGTCTGCCTGGAACCCCCCACCCTCACCACTGCCTGTCCTCCAGGCCCTGCTCTGGTCCCCGTGCCTCCCCCGAGGGTCTTCCCAGACCTTCCCACACCATGAGCACCTTGCCATGGAGCGTTCATCTGCCACTTTCCAGACACTGTTCATCTTCAGGGGTAAATCCGTGAAGAGTCACCAGACATCCCCTCCCACACAGGGTTCACCTCGGCCCTCCGGCTGGCCTCCCTCAGGCCCACCTTGGGTGGCGTGCCTACCTGGGCCCCTGTGTCTTTGGGCCCCAAGGCGCTGGGTGCCTGTGTGTCAGTCCACAAGGGCAGCTGCCCTGGCCAGGGAGTGTCCTGGGTCCCCTCTTCTCCCTTGAAGCTACCCATCAAACTCAGGGGTCCTCGTGGTAAGGAATCTGGGGGGCCTGAGAAGCCCCCTAGAGCCTGGCCCTTCAGTGGCAGGACCTGCCGAAGTCCCAGGATGGTATCCAAGCTTTCTGCCCTGCGGTTCCCCTCCCCCTCCTACTCAGCTCCCAGCACCCCCACTCTGTCCTCCTGGCCCAGGATACCTGGCATCTCCTCACGTCTGGGCCTTTGTGTGTGGTGGCTTTTCTAACACGAATGCCCTTCCCTGCTTGCTCCCAGCTGATCACTGGGCTGGTCCTTCAAAACTCCACTCAGACACCTGACCCAACCCTGAAAGTCAGCCTAGGTGTCTGTACTCTGACCTTCAAAGCCTGGTGCTGCTTTCTGTTTGCTAAGGTGGCTGTCTCCCCACGAGCCCCTATGCTCTCTGGGAGCAGGGTGGGGCCACCCCAGACCTAGCATTGGCCTGGCCCATGGTGGGTGCTCAGTGGATGGCGGGCACATAGGGAACCTTATCCTGGAGGTCACAGTGGAGACGCCGTCCTTGTGTTGGAACACCAAGCCAGAGTGAGGGCTGAAGTCAGCTCTGTGGGGTTAGCGTGGGTGTGGAGGCCAGTAGCCCGCAGTGCCCAGGCCAGGCTGGGGCCGGTGAGCCTGAGCTCAGCGTGCAGAGGAGTCTGGTGCTGTGAGGACGGCAGCCCCCACTGACTTCTGGCCCATGAGCTTCCTTATGGACCTGGCCAGGCTCTGGAAGAAGGTGCAGGAGAAACGAACCGGCGCCGGCCCAGGGCGTGGAACTAGGGTGCGGCTTCAAGGCCGTCCCGGCCCCGGACTCTGATCACTTCCTCCTTCCAGCCCCCTGTCCGACCTGGCCCGACACGTCCCCAGCTGTAGCCTTCAGCCTTGCTGTCACCTGGGGGGCTCCTCAGAGCCCCTGGCCAGGTGGGTCCCCTGTGATCCTACTGCTTTTGGGGGCACCATCCAGATTATATGCATGCTGTGCCCACCTGGAGCTTCCTGGAGGTGGGCAGGGGGACAGGCCCCTCTGTCCCTGCCTGACACTGGGTGTGGAGTGAAAGCGGGCAGCTGCCTCGCAGCCCCTGAGCCTGTCCCAAGGTTCTCTGGTCTCTCCTTCTGCGACAACCACCAGCAAGCCATGGTGGCCTCTGGGCCCTGCTCCCAAGCCCTTTGGATGAGGTCCTCTGACAGAGAGAGGTGTGTCCTTGGCCACAAGCCTGCCCTTGACCGGCGGTCCGGGGGGGGGGGGCTTGCCCACTGCTTCCTCACTGGCACACACCCCTGTGTGCACCCCTGTCTGCCCAGGAGGGCCCGTTCCTTCCTCTTGGTTCCGTAGGTCCCTCTGGCTGCACAGTCCCAATTGTCCAAACCCTTCCAATTGCAGGCCCACCTTGAGGCAGGGTGTGGGGGTCACCCAGACCCAGACAAGCCCCAAGTTCATGTTCTGATACCTACCTTCAGAACACTTCAAGGGCATAAGTGCAGGGGCAGTAAGAGTTCCCGTGGACTCTGTTCTGGGGTGCAGAGGCCGCTCTGCTGGTTCCCCACACCCCCCCACGCACCCTCTACCTCCAGCATCTGCCCCAAACTGCTCTTCCACTGCCACAAAGTATTGAAGCAGACTAGTCATTCATTCATTCATTCATTCATTCATTCAGCTAGCACTCCCTGAACACCTGCTGTGGCCCAGTCACAGGCTTGGGACCCGACACTCATTCAGTCAGTCAACAAACACTAACTGCCTGCATCCTGTGTGCTGGGCATTAGCCTGCCGTGATGGGCAGGGCAGTGAGCCAACAACCCCATCTCCTGTGGAGTTTACTTCCGGGCCAGGTGTTGGGTCTGGCAGCAGAATGTGCAGGAAGGCAGGAAGAACAGAGAAGTCTGGGAGGGTGCCCTCTGAGGGGACGTGACCTGGGCAGGTCTCCACAAAGAGGTGGCAGAAGCAGAGGCCTGACAGAGCCCGGCAGGAAGTCCCGGGACTTTCTGGGGGAAGAGTGGTTATTCAGGTCGGAGCCACAGCAAGTGCAAAGGCCCTGAGGCAGCCTCAGAACATCCTTGGAAGAGAATGAGTTCCAGGCACACAGAACTCACAGGGCCTCCGAGGGAGCTGGGAGGGCCTGCCTCCTCACCCCAGCAGGGCTCGTGGGGTAGGAGGGGCACGATGTGTGGAAGCTGCTTGTGGGGAGACGCAGTTGCCTCAACAGAGGTTGGCCGCGAAGGCCCCTTTTCATGTTGAGTCCAAGCCACCATTTAAATCCGTTTTAACCATGGGCACGTATTACTTTTAGACTTGATGGGACTAGTTTCTAAAAGGGAGTTCTGTCCCCAGATGACCGAAGATACTTGCATATTTCTCACAAGGAAGGTCCTAAACAGCAAAACAGTTTAAAGCCTGATAGTTAAAATAACAAGGCAGGGAGAGGGGCGGCTCCTGAATGGTTCCAGTCACCGCGGCAATGGGAGGAGGAGGAGGAGGAGGAGGAGGAGGAGGAGTGCGGAGGGCCCAGGGAGGCTTTCTTGGGCCTTGGTGACACCCAGACACCCAGCCCTGCTGCTGACCTGGGTCTGTCGCCTGCCGCCGAGCCCAGCTGTGAGTCTGGCCTCTTGCAGGGCTGATGTCCCTGCTGCCGGGCGTCTTGGTGAGTGCAAACGTGGCTGCATGCAGGGACGGACCCTAGCCTTCCCCGGGTGAGCCCCCCATCCAGAGCAGTGGGCAGAGGGGGTGTTTTTAAATTTTACTTATTTTTAGAGAGGAGAAGGCAGGGAGAAAGAGAGAAAGAGAAACACCAATGTGTGGTTGCCTCTCGTCTGCCCCGCTACCGGGACCCATCTCAAAATCCAGGCATGTGCTCCTACCAGGAATCGAGCCAGCGACAATCTGGTTTACAGGCCGGCGCTCAATCCAGCCCAGAAGCGGTGTTTTTGAACTAAAGTCAGTCCACATGCGCCCGGGAAAGGGGAGTTGCAGAACCTGCGGGGAAGGGCTCTCCAATTCGAGGTGCCCCAACCCCTACGCCTCCTGTGTTTCTGGCGCCGGGTCTGCTTCCTCCGCCCACAGCGGCGAGCGCGACCCCCGAGATCCGGCGCTGTGGTTGGGGCGCAGTCGAGGCCGCCGCGGGCCGCAGCTGGTGGGCAGGGCCAGGGCGGGGCGCTAGGGTCAGCACCACCCGCCGGGTCCCGTGACGCCAGTCAGAGCACACTGGTCACGAGTGCTGAGGGGGCCCAAGGCAGCGGCACACCGACATGGCTTCGGAGCAGGACATGCGTGCACGGCTGCAGCGTGTGGGCCAGGAGCACCTCCTGCGCTTCTGGGCGGAGCTGGAGCCAGGGCCGCGCGCCTCGCTGCTGGCAGAGCTGGAGTCGCTGGAGCCCCAGGCGCTGCGCGAGCACTGCCAGCGCGCGGCCGCGGCCTGTGCGCATCCGCCGGGCCCGCCGCTCGACCTGGCCACGCGCCTGCGTCCCCTACCCCGTGAGCGCGTGGGCAGCGTGAGCCGGAGCGACGCGGAGAGGCGGCGACTCTGGGAGGAAGAAGGTAAGGGGTCCGGAGGCCCGAGAGGGGCGGGGCCGGGCGGGGGTCCCAACGGCAAGGCGCATCTGGCTGGCAGGAAGGGGTCGTTCCCTTAGACCAGGGTCCGGGGTCAAAGGAGAGGCCGTGCTTGGAGTTCGGTTCGTTTCAGTGCTTTGTTTTTCCGTTTCTTTAAAATATTTTGTTTATTTTTAGAGGGGAAGGGAAGGAGAAAGAGTGGGAGAGAAACATCAGTGTGTGGTTGCCTCTCATGTGTCCCTCACTGGGGCCCTGGCCCGCAACCCAGGCATGTGCCTGACTGGGAATCGAACCGGCGAGTCTTTACTTCACAGGCCCGCGCTCAATCCACTGAGCTACACCAGCCAGGGTTTTTTTTTTTTTAATTGTTCAGGTACAGTTGTCTCCTTTTTCCTGCCACCACTTTCCTCCCCCCGCCTCCCACCCTTGATCCTTTCCTGCTTTGGCTTCATCCACGTGCAGTCTCCTCCTGTCTCACATATACAAGCAGGAACCGCGGTGGGGCCGCCCCCAGACGCTTCCAGGCCGCAGCCGCCCGGGAGAGTGCTGTATGCGTGCGCACACCTGGCCGGCCAGTGCCCAGCCCCCAGCTGTATTGGCAGTAGGGGACCCCTTGCACACTTGAGCACACTCCTGTCCCCCATGTTCCCTCTGAAGGGCCCAGGTGGGGAACGAACCCAGGAGGACACCATCCAAACCTCCGCAGGGTCGGGGCCAGGTTAGGCTGTCTGGGGGCATCAGGAGTCTCTGTCCCAGACAGGGGTGGCAGTGTGGTGGGTCCCAGGCATCTCCTCACCGCACCCTTGGCCCCCAGGTTTCCGCCAGATCGCCCTGAACAAGGTGGCCGTGCTGCTGCTGGCCGGCGGGCAGGGCACGCGCCTGGGCGTGACCTACCCCAAGGGCATGTATCAGGTGGGGCTGCCCAGCCAGAAGACTCTGTATCAGCTGCAGGCCGAGCGGATCCGGCGGGTGCAGCAGCTGGCCGGTGAGCGCCACGGAGTCCGCTGCACAGTACCCTGGTATGTCCCCTCTGCACGACCTTGGCCCCAGAGTGGCCCCCGCATGCAGCCCAGCTCTGCCCCAAACCAAGATTTGAACCTCAAGCCCTGCACAGCGCCCAGCATCCACTCAGACAGGCCTGAGGCCCCCACCCAGACCGGACTCGGATGCCAGCCCCCCGTGGGAGCTCCTGAAGGCGGGCTCGGCCTCCCTTGTCCCGGCAGGTACGTCATGACGAGTGAGTTCACTCTGGGGCCCACGGCGGAGTTCCTCAAGCGGCACGACTTCTTTTGCCTGGACCCCGACAACGTGGTCCTGTTTGAGCAGCGCATGCTGCCTGTTGTGACCTTCGATGGGAAGGCCATCCTGGAGCAGAAGGACAAGGTTGCCATGGCCCCAGGTAGGCCCCGCCCCTGGCCCAGCGCAGGGAGCGGGCCTGGGGCGGCCTGAGCGGCCGCCTGGAGCCTGTGTAGTTGGACAGTGGCCTCCATTTCCGTCTGTCACGTGGCGTAAGACCAGGATAGTGAGAGCTGCTTCCGGCTCAAGGTCCAACCGTGAGGGACCTCCTACCTCCAGCACAACCCGACCCCCTTCTCTAGCCGGGCAAGGCCACGCTGCAGCTCTCCCAAGTCGTACCCCTTCTCTACAGACGGCAACGGGGGCCTGTACTGCGCGCTGGCGGATCACCGGATTCTAGAGGACATGGAGCGCCGAGGAGTAGAGTTTGTGCACGTGTACTGTGTGGACAACATCCTGGTGCGGCTGGCGGACCCCATCTTCATTGGCTTCTGTGTGCTGCAGGGCGCGGACTGTGGCGCCAAGGCGAGCCCTCCCGCCCCGCCCCGCCTGCCGCGGCGCCCCGCCCCGCCTGCCGCGGCGCCCCGCCCCGCCTGCCGCGGCGCCCCGCCCCGCCTGCCGCGGCGCCCCGCCCCGCCTGCCGCGGCGCCCCGCCCCGCCTGCCGCGGCGCCCCGCCCCGCCTGCCGCGGCGCCCCGCCCCAGCTGCCGCGGCGCCCCGCCCCAGCTGCCTGGCCCCTCCCCATCCCGCCAGCCCCGCCCCCACCGCATTGCCCCACCCCCGCGGCGCCTCCAGCCCCACCCAGCAGTGTCAGCCCCCCTATCCTGGCCGCAGGTGGTGGAAAAGGCTTACCCCGAGGAGCCTGTGGGCGTGGTGTGCCAGGTGGACGGAGTCCCCCAGGTGGTGGAATACAGCGAGATCAGCCCCGAGACCGCCAGCCTTCGCGGGCCCGACGGCGGCCTGCTCTACAACGCAGGGAACATCTGCAACCATTTCTTCACTCGAAGCTTCCTGGAGGAGGTCACCAGGTGAGCGGGGACTGGAGGCTGATCTGAGTGGGGCGGGGCTCTGGCGAGGCCCTGGCAGTGGGTTGGGGAGGAGAAGGTTCTTGGTGTGGAGAGCAGCCGGAGGCCCCAGAGAGCTGGGCAGCTGCTGGAAGGCCGTGGGGCCAGGCCGGCCTGCACCTCCTGGGGGGTGACCCACGGCCCCACCTCTGCCCTGGTTGCTGCTGCTCCCGGGCAGGGTGTGGGTGCCTGTGCCCTCCCGCAGACCCAGCTCAGCTCCCACCAGTCAGTGCCCGTCGGGGCCCGTCCACCACCTGCCCCACCTGGCTGGGCCCTTTCAGGGACCCTGTAGGAAACGCTTCTTGCCTCCCCTTGTTCTCCTGTCCCCCAGGAAGTTTGAGCCCTTGCTGAAGCCACACGTGGCCGTGAAGAAGGTCCCGTATGTGGACGAGGAGGGGAATCTGGTGAAGCCGCCAAAACCGAATGGAATCAAGATGGAGAAGTTCGTCTTTGACGTGTTTCAGTTCGCTGAGTTAGTGGCAGCAGGCACTCTCTCTCCGCGTCTCCCTTCCTGCTCTGGTGGGGGGTTCTGAGGCCCAGGTGGGCAGGGACGTGGAGGCTGTTGTTGGGGGACACTGTGGGAGTGCCCCTTTCACAGTGGGGAACTGGGGGGCAGAAGGCGGGTCTCGGGGAGAAGGCCAGAGAAGCTGCCCCCCTGAGGGTGGGAGTGCAGGGAATGTTAGGGGCTGTGGGCTTTGGGGTGCACCCAGCCCCTCCTGAGCCCTCCGTCTGCGATTCCCAGGTCGGGCTGCGGGGGCTCCCGGGGTATCTGGGCCTCACTTTGGGGTCAGGTTTGCCTGGTGGCCGTGGGAGGGACCTCGGGTGGCACCTGCCAGGCCCAGGGGCTGTGAGCCAGCGTGACGGGTCACCTGTTCTGTCCTCGCCAGGCACTTTGTGGCCTTCGAGGTGCCACGCGACGAGGAGTTCTCCCCTCTGAAGAACGCCGACCCGGCTGACAGGGACACCCCTACCACGGCCCGGCAGGCCCTGCTCGCCCAGCACTACCGCTGGGCCCTGCAGGCCGGGGCCCGCTTCGTGGGTGCACATGGGGCCCGGCTCCTTGAGCTGCCCGGGTGAGTGGGGGCCCCGGGGGCTGTTGTCCGAGCAGGTGGCTGTGTGCCCAGCTTGGCCATGCAGGGACCACCACTGCTGCCCTGTGGCTCAACCCCTCAAGGTTTGCTCAGGACCCTAGGGAAGGTGGGGGTGGGGGGGTGCTGCAGCCTTATCTGGCTCATTCACGAGCTTTGAAAGCAGGTAGGACGTTCAGAAGACAGCAAGGAGGGGCTCACTTTTCAGGGCTGGGAAGGAAGAACGTTAGGTTTCCACTTCTCCGTAGTTGGCAGCCACTGCCCACATTTGGTGGTGCAGGTTCGGAGAGGGAAGGCTGCAGGGGCAGAGTTCCGGCCCAGACCTGGGCCTGTTTCTCAGGCGGGGCGGGGGCTCAGGGTCCTGGGGTCCAGAGAAAGAGATTTCCGGGAAAAGGACTGTGGGCAGCTGGGGGCGTGGTGGGCGGCCTGCTGGGCCAGGACAGGGCCAGCCCGGGTGATGGGTGGTGCTGGGGTCCATCCCCACCCCAGCAGAGACTGACAAGGGTCTTCCCTCAGCCTGCCCAGCAGTGGGGAGCCTCCAGCCATCTGCGAGATCTCGCCTTTGGTGTCCTACTGTGGAGAGGTGAGAGCCACCTGGCTGCCCGGGCTTCTGTGGGGTTTTTCCGGTCAGGCTGCATGAGCAGAGGAAGATGGTCTGGGGAGGGGTGAGTGCTTCGGTAGAAAGTCACAGGTCTGCCTCGCTCTACCCATGTGGTAAATGGGCCTTTGGGTGGCAGAGGAACTTCCAGGATGTGGGTGGGGGGAGGGTGAAGCCCTCAAAGCGAGGTCCTGGGAGCGGTGGGAGGGCAGGCCTTGCTGAGGGAGGGGTGCTGGCCCCCTGGGTAAGCTCTGGTCTGAACTCGCCTGGGCTGGGGGTTGTGCTGGCCTGTGGTCTGGAGATGGCATGTGACCCTTGCCCCTGGAAGTCTCCCCAGCTCCAGGCTGAATCGGGACTCCTGCCCAGGGACAAGAGATGACACTTGACTCATTTCCAGGGTCTGGAGGTGTACCTGCAAGGCCGGGAGTTCCAGTCCCCAGTCATTCTGGATGAGAAAGGGGTCAGGGCACTGGGTCCCTGACTGGCTCCCAGACCAGCCAACCCCTGGGGTCCACAGGGATGTGGATGTGGCCCTGACCCGGGGCTCCAGGTTGGAAAGCCCACGGCTGCGACTTTCTGGACCAAGGGACACAGAGGGAGGACCCTGGTTCGCTCCTCCACTCCTGGTCTGCAGAGGGACTGTTCCCTCTCCCTGGCAGCTGACCCAGTAACTGGGATGAGGCTGGCGCCATAGGCCAGCCTGCCGGCTGAGGCCGACAGCAGAAACGGCCCGGCTTACCACCACAAAGGGCTGGCGGCACCGAGAGAAGCTCGACCTGCACACTGCGGCTGAAGTCTCCGCGTTGTGCCCGAGGCCTCGCCCCCTCTGTCCCGTCTGTGACTGGTGTAGACTGCTGAGTGTCCACGAAACATAGTGGGACCTCCTTCAGTCATTAACTGGAATTTCGATGGGGAGTGCCACCCTTTCTCCAGCCTGCCACCCTGATCTTGGTGCTCACACCCCTTCCTACTCCTTGACAGGCAGGGGCACAGCCTCCACACTCGGCCATGGCCCGCTCCCTGCCCCCCTGCAGCCTGGCCCAGATTGGGGGAAGCCAGCAGGCCCTGTTCTCTTGTCCTGGCTTTGCTGCCCTGGGCCCCAGTGCCGCCTCCCCTTCTGGACACAGCACAGGGGCCTCTACCTCCCCACTGACGTGAAGAACAGCGTGCAGTGCGGCCTGCTGCTAGATGGGGTTGCCTGCCCCTCCCCTGCGCTGCCCCCACAGCCTGCAGGGAGCCCACTGGTTTCCCCAGGGCAAAGGTGTTATCAGGCCGGTGGGTACAGGTGCCACTGGTCCCTCCAGGGGCTTGGAGAAGACTCTTCCCACACTTCCTACCCTGGGTGTGATGGCCTAGTCCGGCTGTGCCCAGGTCTCCCAGCTTGTAAACCTCAAAACCAAACTGTGTGCCTTAGGGTCTTCTTCCCAGCTGCTCCCGAGGCAAGCTGGGGGTCCAGGGCAGAGGCAGGGCCACCTGGTGGAGGCCCAGGCCAGGGTCCTGCCTGGAGTGCTCCTCGCCGGCAGAATGGGAACGCCGCGCCATCTCTTCTACGTAGTTTGCTGGGCAAACTATTGAAACAGCTCACCTTTTAAAAACTTATTTTCAAATAATTTGTATCTTCATATAAAGTTTCAAACAGCACCGAGGTCCCAGGCACCCCTCACTGTTTCCTGCACTGTTCGTAGCATGCATGATTACAAGACCCCGCCACAGCAGAACACGGAGGTGCTCTGGCACTTCCCACAGGTGTGCGTCCTGTGTCCGCTCTGCACTCCAGAGGCGGGATGGTCCCATCGACACAGACATCGTGTTGCTTCTATAGCCACCGCCCCTGTGTCTAACCCCAGACAACTACTACTGAAATAATTGTGTTTGAAAATACTGCCAAACTTGATTTTTCATACACAGTGCGGGGGGGGGGGGGGGCAAGGGGAGCTGCCAATAAACACCAGGTGCTGTGATTGGTCCCTGGACTGGAGAGTGCAGTCTTTATAGCAGCACGTGGGGTGGAGTGCAACAGGATGGTAGCAACAGTGGGAACCGTGGCCCACTCTAACGTCCATTTACACTTCCTGTAAATGCTGGCTCCAGTCCGTCCGTTGTAGACGAACGGCACGTTTGTGTAAGAATCCTAGAAACTAACTTCAAAAGATACAGACTCTGACCTTCGAACTTCCCGGCTCCCTGATTGCTGACCTTCACCCATGGAGCCAGGATGATGTGGAGCTGGGATGGTGCGTACAGGACCGTCACCTGCGTTATTGGAATGGACGGTGCGTGTTGCCATGTGGGGAACTTTTCAACCTCCTCCTCTGATTTCTGTACTGTTCCTCTCTCCCTCCTTATTAAACTTGTCTCCACAGAGGAGGAGTTAGGCTTGGAGCCATGAGACCCCATCTTCCAGGTGGCGGCATCTGAAAAACCACTTTCCTTCGCATGTTGGCTTTCCTTGCGGCAGGCAGCCGAGCCTCCGTTCCGTCACAGGACCAGCACCAGGGGGTGTCAGTCGAGGGCTGGACCCCACACGCTGAGCCAAACCTGCTCTGGGTGGGCGGGCCAGTCAGGAAGCTCCTCCTGCTTGTTCCGCCCAGCCACCTATCAGGGTCTAGGGGACCTGCAACAACTCAGTGGGTCAGGCATCTGGGGGTTAGGCTCAGAACTTGCCGCTTGAACCAACTCTCCAGGACGGGCCGGTGCGCTGGCTCTGAGGGCCTGGTGACTGGGCCTTTGGGTACTTGCGCGCTCCAGATGCCACTGTTTCCCTGGTAGCCGGTTGCGCAGGGAGGGACGAGTGAGGGCCTGGTTGGAACTTCCCGCAGAGCTGTGTGTGGGATGAGACCCGCCGGGGCCTGAGAGATGGCCCCTGAAAGGGAACAGGGGGCACACACGGGGGGGGAGCCCCGCAGACATCCGGACAGGTCTTGAGCTGAGCAGGCCCCGGCAGCACCGGGCGGCTCTGCCACGAGCAATACGCCGTACGTCCCCAAGACCGGCATGTCACATGGGTGGAAACCCAGCGCGGGATGAGGGATGATCACTGTGGCGGGACCCCGCCCCGCGGCCTCGCTCCAGCTGGGCGGAGCGGCCGGCCCTCATTGACCACAGGACCTGGGGCAGTCGGGCTGGGGGCGCAGACAAGCCGTACGACCCGAAAGCCAGGGGACACCACCCCCGAGGACCAGTCCAACCCGCCTCCTAGTCTAAGCCACGCCCACACCCGGCGCGCAGGCGCTGGAGGGCGCTAATGTCTTGGGTGTGAGGTCACCGCTCAGGCGCAGAAGCGAGGAGACGCTGGTGCCCCGGTAAACTCGTTCGCAGGGTCACCGAAGCCAGGCGCACGCGTAGTAAGGTTAAGAGGGCGCGGCGCACGCGCATTGGCGGTGAGCGCGATGGGCGGAGTGTTGCCGGAGCTGATATGGCTGCTCGCTACTGTGCGAAGAACGGAGCCTCGGGCCCCTCTCACAGCCCGGCCTCTTGACGCTGCCAGTGAACGGGGTCCCCCGGGCCGTCTCCACCGTTGTCATGTACCCTCCGGCGCCGCCTGCGCCGCACCGGGACTTCATCTCGGTGACGCTGAGCCTTGGCCAGAGCGGCGACGGCAGCAAAACCCGGCGGCGCCGCTCGTGCTGGCGGGTGAGGGTTGGTCCCGCAGGCCCCGGGGTCTCCGCCCCGCGCGCCGGCCCCGGGCAGGAGGCGCTGGTCCCAGCGGCACTATCCGCGGGCCAGGCTCTGCGGCTTGGGCCGGGGAGGGCGCCGAGCGGGGCCGACGCACCCCCAGCGGGTCCCCGTATGGTCTTGTTCTCTCCACCCCGAACGGAAACCTGAGGTTCCCTGGATGAGTTCTCCCCCAGTGCGGATGCCGGGGACATAGGCTCAGCCACTCTAACGCGCCTTGTGCGTTCGGTGTTCTCAGGCGGTGGGGCGTCCACATGCCGCATCTGGGCAGGTGCAGGTCCGGCGGGGCCTTTCTGCGCTGTCCATGTGCAGGACACAAGTGGACCCTGCGTCCGTTTTCATTCTCCTGTTACCTGTCCCCGGTCATTCTGTCACCTGCAGTCCATCCCCAGCCTGTCACCCCTCTGCGAGGGAACCGCGCCCAGTTCAGAAACAATATAGCTGCACACAGGACCTTCTGAATCACTCATTGACCTCACAGAATTTGTCACAGAGGAAGAGAATTCCATTTTATTTTCAGTAAAAAGTGTCACTTTCCGTCTCCCCTCTCCCCACCCCAGAAATGGAAGCAACTGTCGAGATTACAGCGGAATGTGATTCTCTTCACCCTGGTGTTTCTGACGCTCTGTGGGCTCCTGTCCTACATCAGCATGGCTGACCCGTGGAAAGGTATCCACTCCTGAGTGTCTCAGACACCCAAGGGTTAACTAGACAGAAGCGATCTTGCCTTCCACTGTAACCAGCCCCAGGAGCCATAAAGGGCAACGAGTGGGCAGGAGATCCAGATAAAAAAAGAGTATGGTGTGTTTTCAGCCTCCTTGCTAGAACACAGATGTTAACATGATGTTCCCTGCCTGCCTCCTGTGTGTCTGCTGTGGGGCCAGCATCCAGCTCCTGTCCTGAGGTTGAACGCCCACTCGGAGTCTGTCCTGAGAATAGTGCACGCTGCCGTGTGTTCGGGCAGGACCAGGCAGAGAGCAGGTGTAAAGGCAACGTGCCACTGTAGGTCACCTTGTGCACTTCCTGGAGAGGAAATACAAAGGAGAAGCCTTTGGGGTCATGGGTTGCTGATGAGGACAAAGATGGCCAAGTGCTTCAAGAACGTTTGGTTCCCTCTGGCCATTCTCAGATGCAGTGGGTGACTTCCCAGGGCTTCAGGGCGTCCTTTGTTAGAACCAGTACCTACGTAGGTGTCTTCTACAAAGTACCCTGAGTGTCCCCTAGCCCAAGTGGTATATCTGAGTTAAACAGGTTCTCTCGTCTAGCTCCGAGTGGCAGGTCAGCAGGAGAGCAGAGAATGAGGCCAGCAAACCCACCCATCTTGCCAGCTCCGCAGAAGGCAGATGCTGACCCAGGGAACAGCCCTGTGCTGCCCCGTCAGGTACTTTCCTCAAGCTCCGGCCTAGTCCCTGGAACGTCAGAATAGTCTGGGAGAAGGCCTTCTCTTGCCATCTGTCTGGTGGGCCAGCCTCGTTCCTTCTGCGCCGGCTGGACACCTCCTGGGGGAGGAAGGAGGAGCACCCTCTTCTTCCATTCTTGGCTTCCCAGCTCCTGGGCTTCATACCCTGGGTTAGGTGGTGAGCAGAGCAGACCTGTCCCTTCTCTCCGGGGCTGGTGTAAAGCCAGCTGGGGCCCCAGGAACAGGTGGGCGGCCCACACTTTGTGTCCTGTGAGGATGAGAGAGCGGACACCCGCTGAGGAGGCTGGGCATTTGGTCAGGGCAGCAGCTTGAGGACAGGGCACTGGACTGCGGGCTGGGGAGCCCCTGGCTGTGGGTGGGGCGGGGGCAGGGCCTGCTCCGGGGAGCTGCCCGAGGCGGGGGTTTGGTTTGTTTTGGGGGTCGAAACTCAGCGGGGCCTGGGCACGAAGGGGCAGCTCCAGGCACCTGAATTCTCACCAGCAACTCTTGTTTATCCAGAAGCCTCAGAGGCACGTCCGGCGGGGCCCCCGCAACCTGCAGATCAGAGCCCCCGATAAAGACTCAGAGGGCAGGAGGCAGGACGACATCAAGAGGAGGGAGGAGGCGGCGGACGAGCTGCACCAGCAGCAGGACCCGCCAAGGACGGTCGTCAGGTACCGGGAGCCCAGCACGTGGGTCTGAGCGTCAGGAAGCCGGGAGGCCGCTGCGCTGGGCACGTCTCCTCTGAAAGACAAGGAGAACCAGCACCGGGCCGAGCCCACCTTCCCTGTGAAGCAGGCAGTCTGCCGCACCCTGAGCGTGCCCTGGGGTGGGGCGGAGACCGTCTCCTAGTTGTCTGGCCTGGAGGGGGCTGAGCCCAGCTGGGCTGCCCCCACGGGCTCCTGCACCCTGGCCCCTGCCCGGCTGACGGCCCCTCTCCCTGCAGCTGGCGGGGAGCAGTGATAGAGCCGGAGCAGGGCACCGAGCTCCCGTCCAGGAAGGCAGAGGCCCCCACCAGGCCCTCCTCGAGGGCCCCCAGGATTCTGAAGCACGTGGGTAAGGTCCCCCCTGCATCCCTCAGGGCCCCACTTGCGTGTGCTGACCCAGGGCGTGTGGATGCACACGTGAGCATGTGGGGCAAGGGGGTGGAGCGCCACCCGTCCCCCCGAGGTTGACTGTTCCTCGGGACCCAGGTGGGCCCAGGTTCTCAGGTTGTCAGGGTCACATGCTCTTCAGAGGTCTGGTAGCTACGAGTGGTTCCTGGACACTGTCCTGTGGCCACAGGTGTGTGTGTGGGGGGGTGGGAAGCCCATCTTCCTGCCCGTGTCTGGTCCAAGAGGGACTTGGGGGTGTGAAGACAGGGCTCCCCCTCAGTGTCACCCCAGGCCCGAGGCCCTTAGCGGGTGGGTGGGTCCGTGCATCCGGGCCCCAGGAGTCAGAGGCCAGCTGCAGCCAGGCCATCCTGTGAAGAAGGTTGAAGGCGCCCAGAGCCAGGGCCGGCAGCCGGGCCTGTGGGGATACGGAGCGGTTGTGTGGCCTTAAGGAGGGACAGCGTGGCTGTGGGTGTCAGGAGGGGAGGCCTCCACCCCCACAGAGAGGACACGTGGAGTGAAGTCAGTGCCAAGTTTTCCTGGACGCCGGCCCCTGTGTGACCCTGCCTGTGTGGACAGCACACCCGCCGGGGGCACCGTGGGTGCGGGAGGCGGGCTGCAGAGGGACCACGGTGTGCCCGCCCCATGGGCTCTCCTCTTGGAAGACCCGGGCACGGGCTGGTGAGAGATGGGGGGGCTTGTCCCTGTTGCCAGCACCCGTCACGGCGGATGTTCCCGTACCCGGGCTGCCTGGACAGCCGGTGCCGCTGTGTTCCTGGCCTGCGCTGTCAGATGCTTTTGCCTGCCACACGCTTCTTGTGGCCCCAAGGGTGTGCCCCAGAGGGTGGTGTGGACCAGGCCAGGCCAGGTGGACATGAGCCCAAGCTGCCATGTGAGACCCCCAGGGCCTCGCCACCTCATCAGCTGGGCCCGGACCTTCGTGTCCTCTACCACTGCCCTGGTCAGTGTCCCCCCAGGTCACCAGCATCCCGGCTCAGGGCTGCCGAGGGGCTCTGCCCTCTCTGACCAGGCCCCAGTCCCCTGACCTGCTTCCCTCCCTCCAGCTTCCCCTAACGAGCGCCAGAAGGCCGTGATCGACGCCTTCCGCCACGCATGGACCGGGTACCGCAAGTTCGCCTGGGGCCACGATGAGCTGAAGCCCGTGTCCAGGTCCTTCAGCGAGTGGTTCGGCCTCGGCCTCACGTTGATCGACTCCCTGGACACCATGTTGATCCTGGGTCTGAAAAAAGGTGCCTGTTGTCCTCGAGCAGGCGGCTGAGCCTGCGTGTCCCACCTGCTGTGTCCACACACACGGGCTTTCCTTCCCGAGGTGATGGAGGGGGTGTGCTGGTCACGGGCACGTCCCCGTCGCCTCCCGTGGCTGCAGACAGCTGTGCAGGCCCTGCTGGACACAAGTGAGGGCCTCGGGTCAGCAGCGGGCCCCCGCTGCCGGGGGCCAGGGCCCTGTGGCCGGAGGCGGCACCAGGAGTCTGTCCCTGCCACCCACGCTGCTGCACAGCAAGGGGCCGACCCCAGCTGCGCCGGCAGCTACTGAGCTGATGGTCCCTGGGGAGGGGCTGTCACCACGCGCTGTGGTTCTCGTGCGGGGGCCTCAACTCTCGGCCACTTGTGCCTACAGCCGGGTGCGGCTCCCCAGCCACGTGCTGGCCCGTTTACCCTCAGACGTGAAGACGGGGCGTTTGTGCCTTTGTCCCCTCAGAGAGACGGAGAGGAGAAAGCACGTCACCCTGTGCGAAGCCCTGCGGCACCGGGACCCCTGAGCATGTCCTCCAGCCCTCCCGTTTTGTGCCCTAGAGTTTGGAGAAGCCCGGCAGTGGGTGTCCCGGAAGCTGCAGTTCCAGAAGGACGTGGACGTCAACCTCTTCGAGAGCACTATCCGGATCCTGGGGGGGCTGCTGAGTGCCTACCACCTGTCCGGGGACGCGCTGTTCCTGCAGAAGGCTGTGAGCGGCCCGCGCCCACGGGGACCTGGGTCTCGAGCACTCACCCCGGGGTTCCGGGGGGGGGGGTTTCCTGTCCCCCCTGGAGTGTGTTGGTCTTTTCTGGCCTGAGCTGAGCCGAGCAGCACGGCTTGTCCACTGCGGCGGAGGGACATCCCTCCAAGCTCACAGTCCACCTCACTGTGCTGCTGTGGGGGCTGGGGCCTCGTAACTGGGTGGAAGTGGGTGAGGGGTCCACAGCCCACGAGGCAGACCAGGCCTCTCAGGGACGGCCGACGGCGGTGACCCCTCGCTGTGTGTGCACCAGGAAGATTTCGGGAACCGGCTGATGCCTGCATTCCGAACGCCCTCCAAGATCCCGTACTCGGACGTTAACATCGGCACTGGCGTTGCCCACCCGCCCTGGTGGACGTCCGACAGCACGGTGGCGGAGGTGACCAGCATCCAGCTGGAGTTCCGAGAGCTCTCACGTCTCACGGGAGTCAGGAAGTTCCAGGTGCGAGTCCGCGCCTCGGGGGCGCGCTCTGGCTCCGTGCCATCAGCTCCCAAGGGGCAGGTGTCGGTCCCTCCCTTGTGGCTGCTTCCTGCTCTTCCTTCGCTGGGGCCTGTCTCCTCACCGCTGCTGAGGCTGAGGCCCCGCACGCTGCTTGGCGGGCGAGTCCACCCAGGCCCCACTCTGCTCCAGCATGTGACCTTGAGGCCCTGACAGAGCTGGGGGCGGCTCATGCAAGGCTCTGGTGGCCCTGTGTCCTCGTGGCTGCCTCTGTCACAGCTCTGTGGGGTTGGACCTGTGACGTGCTGGCCTCATTGTGCTCGTCCCGCCCAGCGGTCTCCCGGGCGCTGCAGCGGCACCTGGACCGGAGCCCGGGCTCACGTTTCCTGCCGACAGCAGCAGTGTTTGCGGTGGGGGGGGATGACAACCTCGAGTTTGGCCGCTCACCCGCCCTCCCCCCTGCCCAGGAGGCCGCAGAGGAGGTGACCCGGCACGTCCACTCCCTGTCGGGGAAGAAGGACGGGCTGGTGCCCATGTTCATCAACACGCACAGCGGCCTCTTCACCCACATGGGCGTGTTCACCTTGGGCGCCAGGGCCGACAGCTACTACGAGTACCTGCTCAAGCAGTGGATCCAGGGCGGGAAGCGGGACTCGAGGTGAGGCCGCTTCTGCCGCTCACCTGGGGGCCCCTCACACAAGCGCCGAGGACCAGGATGGTCCTGCCGGTGGCCCCCAGCCTGCTGCTGAGCCAGGTCTGGGGGGGGGTTCGTTCCACACGGCCCTCCCCGGGTTTGGAAGACCCAGCTTCTCAGACCCTCGCCTGGGACCTGGAGGTGCCCACCCACCAGCTCCAGCCCAGGGGTGATATGACCCATGGGACGGGGTGGGGGGCGTGGCTGCAGGCCAACCCCCAGGGCAGGGACTTGGTGGTCTTCGTCAGGGAACCGCAGGGCCTCTGGGCGGTTGAGAGAACAGCCCTGTTGGGGGATGGGGGGGCGCAGAAGGCACAGCTCTGGCCCTCCAGGCGGACCTGCCATAGGTCCCCTACCCCCGGGCTGGCTGGGGTGCCCAGACTGGGGCAGGCCTCGCAGCCCTGCGGGCAGCACCACCACCACAGGGTTATGGGCCTGGGGGGTGGGCCGTGTGCCCGCCGGGTCAGAGCCGACCGACCCCGCTGGTCTCCAGGCTGCTGGACGACTACCTGGAAGCCGTCGAGGGGATCAAGAGGCACCTCCTGCGCAGGTCCGAGCCCAGCCAGCTTGCCTTCGTGGGGGAGCTCGCCCATGGCCGCTTCAGCGCCAAGATGGTGAGCACAGGGCGGGCTGGGGGTGGCAACTGCCTCTCGTCCTCAACCCCCAGGCTCCACGTCTGGACCAGGAGAGGCCAGTGACCTTGTGGCCAGGAGTGTGGGGCTCTCGGTGGACGTGGGCTGTCCCCGCCTGCCTCCCGCACCTGGTGCTCCCTGGTGGTTGGAGGGGTGCGGAGACCAGGCCGTGCCCCCCAGGACACAGGTGTCCCACCAGCTCGTCTCCTGCCCATGTTGAGCCCCCAGTGCTGGGCCTGGTGGTCAAGGGCGCCCCCGGGGTATGGGGGCCGGGCAGCACTGGGGCAGCGCTGGACCCAGCTGACCCTGCATGGCCACTAGCTCTGCGGTGGTGAGGAGACCCTTGTGTTTCAGGACCACCTGGTGTGCTTCCTGCCGGGGACACTGGCCTTGGGAGCCCACCACGGCCTGCCCGCCGACCACTTGGCGCTGGCCCGGGCACTCATGGACACCTGCTACCAGATGAACAGGCAGATGGAGACGGGGCTGAGCCCTGAGATCGTGCACTTCAACCTGCACGCGCAGAAGGGCCAGAAGGACGTGCAGGTCAAGGTGAGTGGGGCCGGGCAGGGCCGGGTTTGGGCCCAGGGCGCCGCGTGGGCCTCACGCCGTGCCCTGGGCCTGTCCTCAGCCGGCCGACAGGCACAACCTGCTGCGCCCCGAGACGGTGGAGAGCCTGTTCTATCTGCACCGCCTCACGGGGGAGCGCAAGTACCAGGACTGGGGCTGGGAGTTGCTGCAGAGCTTCAACACCTACACGCGGGTGAGCTGCTGCCACCGTCCCACCTCGAGGGACCAGCCCGTTGGGGAGGGTCCCTGCAGTGTCCAGAGCAGGGCAGAGAGGGTCCCGCCTTGGTCCTCTGTGTGGCCCGGGCAGCTCTCTTCCACCTGGGGTGGCCTCTGGGCACCCAGTCCCCAGGACGCACGCCGACCAAGGTGCCCCCACTGTGTTCAGGCCCGGCTGCCTCTCTGAACCGTTGGCACCTTGGCTCAGAGAAGCCTGTGCCCCGCCCAGGGCCTGCTGCCTGCTGGGCAGAGCTCAGGCCTGACCTTTGCCCTGTGGTGTGTGAGCAGTGGGTTCTGGGCTCCGCGGGTGACCACCACAGGCTCTGTAGGCCACACTTGCCATTGGTCACTCGAGGGCAGCAGGTACCACCCGGGGTCTCTGGAAGAACCCAGGTGACTTCAGGATAGCCAGTCACCGTGTGGGCCTCACTGCCTCCCGGCCCAGACCCTGCCCGGGGCCGTGCGTGTGGCGGCCAGGCGGGGGGCTTTGGGGCTGTGCCGCAGCGCTGATCCCGCGGCCTCGGCTCTCCTCAGGTTGCCTCTGGCGGCTATTCCTCCATCAGCAACGTCCAGGACGCCCGCAACCCCCAGCCCAGGGACAAGATGGAGAGCTTTTTCCTGGGAGAGACGCTCAAGTACCTGTACCTGCTCTTCTCTGACGACCCCGACCTGCTCAGCCTGGACGCCTACGTGTTCAACACCGAGGCCCACCCCCTGCCCATCTGGGCCCCCGCTTAGGGTGCAGTTCCTGTGTGGGTGCTGCCCCCGGGCCGACGCTGCCTGCGCTCAAGGGCGCCTGTCGGCAGGACCTGGCCCTGGAGAGGTCCTCCCTCCTCTGACCTGGGCCGTGTGTGTCTGCCAGCTGGACGTGCTCCGGGCCCGGCTGGTGACAGGCCAGGAGGCAACTGGGCCAGGACGTCTCTGGGCTGTGGGAGGTGCTCGGGGTGGCCGTGGGCGGCCGGTGCTCTGCCCCGGTGTGGGCTCCTAGTCTGGGGTTCTGTGGGGACACCGTTAGGAGGAAGAAACCAGTGTTGGGGTTCAGGGGGGCCAGTCCACCAGCCCCCCCATTCCTGAGAAACTGCAAATTGTGAGTCACATTCCTGTTGCCCGAATGTCCTGTCGGTGCCCGGGCCTCTTTGGGTCCTGGGCCTCTGGTCACCTTTTGGGGCCCCTGGGCGTCCCCAGGCCCCATGCTGGTTCAGAGGCAGGAGCCAAGAGGACACTGGAGTGCAGCTCTGCCTCGGGGTCTCAGTGGGGGACCCTGGGCCAGCCCAAGGTCTTGGGAGGCGCGTGTGACCCCGCTGGGCCGGGGCTTCTGGCTGGCTGTGCCGCGCACATGATGGACTCAGGGATCCCTCAGGGTCTGGGGGGCGCGGGCCGAGTGCCTCTGCCCCCAGGCCACCCGCGGAGTGGCCTTCCGTTGGGATAAAGCCAATTTGCTCTGACTGGTGCCCTGTGTTTGTGCGGAAGCCTGCTTCCTGGTGCCTGACGGGCTGGGCGCCCGACGGGCTGGCCCCCTTGCCCTGTCCACTGAGGCCCGGCCCTTGCTGCCGTCTCCCCTCTTATAGCATCTGTCCTTTAGGACTGGCCTGGGGTCCCCTGCCCCTTGTGACCAGGTGATCTCATTTCCAGAAAAATCCCTTCTCAGAAACCTGGGCCTCTCTGAGCATCCAGCAAGCCTATGCCAAGGCCAAGGCTCCCACCCTGCTTCCCCTGGGCTCAGACGTGTTCCTGGCAGGTCCCTGCACCCTGGCACCCTGGTGACAGCTGCACACTCCCTCCCTTGCTGCCAGCCCTGCAGGGTTGCCCCATCAGAGGGCACCCTGAGCTCCCCTGGGCCTTGTGGCCTGCGGTCAGTGGCTGGATAACCCCTCATCCCCCATGAGGCGGGGCTCGTGGCGGCCTCTGCCCCACGCTCGGGGTCTCAAAGATGCACAAGCAGGGGTGGTGGGGCAGTCACACGGGGGTGTCAATGACATTGAAGGGAAGGGATGTGGGGAATTGCTCCAGTGACCTGGTATTTGGTGTCACAGTTTATCAGGCCATATGAAAGCCACCCTCTGCCCCTGACACCAAATAGTAAACCCTGAGGTGACCGTTTTATTGACCAATGGTTGGTGGGGGAGGGTCAGTGTGCTCACATGTCCACGCCCTCTTCCCATGAGGGGTGTTGCTGGGCCCCCTCCCTGAGCCAGGGCCCCACCCAGGGCTCCAGGGGAGGCCGCTGTGCCCTCTGGTCCTAGCTGGGGGCACGCCCCTCAGCCTCTGAGAGCCGGTGCTGTGTCTGCCGTTCCTGCCTGGCCTCCTGGACCCACTGGTGGATGGACATGGCCTCCAGCTGGCGTACCTCCAGGACGGACGTGGGGTCTGCCGGGTGGGACGCTCTGTGGAGCAGACAGGTGGTGGGGACACTCAGTGGGCAGGCCGGCCTGGGACTCCCAGGCCTGCCGCCCGGTCCCGCCACAGGCCTGGGCCAGGTGCCGCGCGGCACCGCTGCCAGGACAGGGCCGCACCTGAGGTCCAGGTGGTGCGCTCCCCCGCGGATGGTGACTGCCAGGACGGAAGCGCTCAGGTTTCTGTGGATCTGTGTTGGTCAGAGAGGCCAGCACATGCAAGGAGTGAGCCCCAGGCAGGCAGCCCCAGCCTGGAGCACGGCCCACCCTGGGGTGCAGCCAGTGCCGTGACTCAAGGTGGCTGCGTGGCCTTGGCCGGTCTTGCCAGACGGCACAGGCAGGGCCCGGCAAGTCAAGGAAAGAGCCGGGAGTGAGGGGGCACAGACCTGGGTGTGGACATCCTCACAGACCACCCACAGGGACCCTGCAAGGGCAGTTACCACCCATGGAGAACCCCCAACTCACCCCACCCCCGGCCCACGGGTCCAGGTCCCCGTTGGAAAAGATGATGTTGCTGGTGGCTTTGAAGTCTGAAAGGAACAGAGCAAGTGGCAGGGGGCCGGGCGGGGCCCAACCCAGCCCCCAGAGCTGCTGGCTCCGGGCAGAGACGCTTCCCCAGCCTCACCCGCGCCCCCAAAGCTGGTGCGCAGCCAGTCCCGCCGCGGCCACACGCCCCATGTGCGCAGGCAGTACTGCTGGCGCAGCTCCTCCGTGAAGGGCAGCTCGGGGAAGAGGTCCGTCACGTTGTTACTGGACAAGGCCAGGTTGATCTCGGTGCAGGCCTGCAAGCCACGCCGTGCTCAGGCCTGCGGGCAGGTGCCCTCCATCACCCTGCCCCCTGTGGCCCCGTGTGCCCCACCCAGTACCTGGTAGTCCCAGGCCCTGGCGTCGGGGCCTGAGCCGCAGCCTGTGGGGTCCGCGCACGCCTGGTACTGCAGGTAGAGGTCGTAGCAGGGCTGCTGGCCCGAGGAGTTGTACACCAGCCCTGTGGGGAGGGGGGCTGGGGCCAGCTGCCCGGACGCCAGGCCCGCTTGCAGGGGCCCTGCCGGCGCCAGGGCTCCAGGGGCTCGTGCCCAGGAGGGGTGAGGACCCTGGGTGTGCACTGGTGCCTCCTGCCCACCCTGCCGGGGCCTCCCGCAGCTCCCTGGGAGCAGCGACCCCAGGTCGGGCCAGGAAGGAGATGGTCGTTTCCAAGGTGATGGCAGAGGCATCCTGGGCCCCGAGGTCCCATGGGGGCAGCCCCGGGAGGCCCCCACAGCCGACCTGCCCTCACGCCCACGGCAGGACTCCCAGTCTCGACACCAGCCCGGGGCAGAGGGGTGGACGCACCTGCCAGTTCTCGGAGCCCCTCGATCCTGCTGCTCTCATTCAGCAGCCGGTCGCAGGCCACCTAGTGGAGGGTGCCAGCAGAGCACCTCAGCAGAGACCCCGCTGGTGACCTGCAGCCCTCTCCCGGCTCGCCCTTCCCTGGTCCCAGGCCACAGAGCCGCGCATGGCCCTCAGGCTGGCAGCACTGACCGCCCCGGGCCCTTCCCTGCCTATGGGAGCAAGCGTCTTGCCTGGACAGGGTTGGCAGGAAGGCGTCCCAGGAAGTCGGTGGGGTACGGGTAGTCCATCATGGCCAGCACGGTGAATGCGTTCCGCGCAAACCCAAAGAGCTGGACCAGGTCCTTCTGGCTGGAGAGTGGCTGGCAGAGGCCGAACGCCTGGCTGACCACGCCGTAGGCTGCCAGGACGAAAGGCCTTTGGAGGCGGCTGGTGGTGGAGTGTGGCGGGGGCGCGAGGGGGGGGGTGCGGCCTCCTCACCTCCCTGGAGGAACAGATCCTTGATCTGCCGGAAGGCGTCCCGCACACCCTGGGCACACTTGGGACTCTGGCCCTCAAAGTCCTGGAGGAAGAAACGGTGGTTGTGGCTGCGGCTGGACCCCAGGCCCCCCCACCCCACAGCCCCCCTCCTCCCTCACTCACTGCGGAGACATCCCGGAAGAACTGGTAGGCGTCCCCAAGGCCAGCCACCAACACCACGGGGGCGCTGGCCGCCAGTGCCCCCGCCACCAGGTGGGGGTACTTCATCCTCATGTATGCGCTGAGTATCCCCCCGTAGCTGTTTGGGGCACGGGGTCAAGGTTGTAGATCCCCCTCCCAACCCCCACCCACCTGGGCGCCTGGGGCAGCAGCCTCTCAGCCGCCAGTGGGTGGGGGCTGGGCCCCAGCTCGGCCCCCTCCTCCGCAGCCCCATGCCCCCCACCCCTCGAGAAGGACCTGAAGTGTCTGGGCGCCCACTTGTCCCCAGAAGAGAAAGCAGACGGCGAGGACCCACCTCCCGCCGAAGGCGACGGCCGGGACGTCCTGGGCCCCGAGGTCCCGCCGCAGGGCCTGCAGCAGCCTGGCGTAGTCGGCCAGCGCCTGCTCCACGGTCAGCAGCTCCGTGTGGCCGCGCTGCGTGGACCGCTCCCCGAACGGGAGCGACTTCCCGTAGTACCTCTGTGGGCGGCACGGGGGCGGTGGCCTCGCCTGCGCCCGGGCTGAGGCCCCAAGCAGCCACCCTCCCCCGCCCCCGCGCTGGTACCCACGTGCTCCGCGAAGACGACCAGAGCCGCCTGCTGCGCCGCCAGCTCAAGGATGAACCCCGAGTTGTTGGCGAAGGCCCACACGTCCCCCTCGTTGCCCGTGTAGAAGAACAGGGGCCCCTCGCCCCTCTTCCAGAACTTCTCTGTGGAGTGCAGACAGGAAGGGTTGGGGGGAGGCGAGTGGGTCCTCCTGGGGCTGGGGGTCCCCGGGTGACCTCACCTGACACCAGGAACCGCTGGAGGAACGTCTTGTTGCCAAACCTCTCGAAGTTGAAATGGTCCAGAAACTGCTCAAAGTAGCTTTCTCGGAAGTCGGGGTCCAGGGCTCTGTGGGCTGGAACCGCGATGCTCAGCGGGTGAGGCCCGGGGGGGGGGGGCGGGAGGGGCTGCGGGTCCCCACTTACCCCTGGCCTCCCAGCCGCGCAGTCCCAGCACCAGCAGCAGGACCAGGGCCCAAGGCAGGGCCGTTAGGCACAGGGAGCCCATGTCCGCTCCACCGGCGAGCCCGCAGTCACATGACGGGCAGGGACACCCTCACGTGGCTGTCTGGGCGGAGCTCTGCGGGCTTCCGTGCCTTCCGTCTGGTCCCCAAGCTTTCTGGCAGCCACTGTCACCACGGAGATGGTTGCCATGGAGACACAAGAAGCAGGCAGAGTGCTCAAGGGCCTGGCAATGGGACAGGGGACCTGTGTGCCCAGCCACCTGCCTTCCAACGGCCACTACTGAGGGCCTGGACTGCCTCACGCCTCCCTGCTGGGCACCCAAGCCCGTCCTCCTCGCTCTCACCAACACACACCTGGGCGAGAGTGACCAGCCCTGTGGTCCAGCTGTCCCGGGCTGACAGCCCCTCTGAGGTGCCCAAGCCAGGGCCCCGCTGGCAGGCGTGGGGGGCGGGGCTGGGTGGAGGAAGCCTTTGGAAGGTGGGGTCGGGAATGTCCGGTGCTGAGGGCAGTGCCCCCGAGAACGTGGCTTGTCCAGGTGGAAGCCAGGGGCCGTGTGGCTGTGGGGCAGTGTTCTGCGGCCCTGGCAGGGGGCAGGCGGCAGCTCGCAACTGCTGGAAGCCGGGGGAGGGGCCCTCCTCCTCCCCCCAGGCGAGTCCGTTCGCTGGCTCTTCAGGGGGACGGGCCCCCCAGGAGGCGCCAGCACCCAGGGGACAGCGAGGCCATCTCCCCCTGCCCCAGCCTGCCGTCCAGGCCCACAGAGCCGGGCCCCCGCCCTCTGTCCCAGGCTGTGGAGGGAAGGAGCCCCTCCTGTCCCCATTCCTGCGGCCGCCCGGGCCCGGCCTGCCTGGCACTGGCCCTGGCTGCAGCCCCGAGACCCGAGGACCCACCGCGCTGGGCTGACCAGGGTCTGGCTGCTGGAGCCGGCCCTTTGGCTGCCCCTCCCAGGGTCCCCAGGCTGTCACTGAGGCAACCAGCGTGGTGACAATGGCTGTGCAGTGTGTCACACCCATGGGCGTGGCCATCCCATGGCCACCCAGTG